TACAGGGATGACTTCCATATGCAGGGCTAAACCTACTACCTGCTACTGCCCACAGGGAGGGAGGGAGCATGTGTGAATGCGCGCGCTTGCACATATGCCTATTATTGCTAGTCAAAGGAGTACTGTACTAATATTGATCAATACCCCACTTGGAATGAAATATCAACACCACTTGAATACTGGCTGGTTTCATTGCTGTTGTTAATGTTTTTGCATATATTATTTATTCCTGTAGAATCTAGATACATATTTCATTGCACTGCTTTAGAAAGTAAAGACTTGTCCAAATTGCCTTTTATATAACTAGGGTCTTCAGAGATATTTCCTGCATAAGGATAGAGTGGGACATTGGAGAAGTTAGTCACTAAGGCACCCATGTATTATAAGTGAGTCCCAAATGGCACAATTCCCTTTATAGTGCACTACCTTTGACCAGGGTCCATAGGTCTCTAGTAAAAAATGTTGCACTTTATACTGAATAAGGTGTCATTTAGGATGTGCATTACCTGGCCCGCTAGTGTCTCTTAGATCTGAAATATTTAACAGCCCAAAAAGTAACAGTTTTGAATAGTTAATTTGCGTCCACACAAATATCCACTCTGAATATGTTGATAAATACTTACTGAGTTGATCATGCTATGTTGACTCACTGAGTAGGGGAGTGTTCTGGTTACTGCTGGGGTCAGCAGAAAGCCTAGCGGTTAGCTAGTAACCCGAAAGGTCGCTAGTCCGAATCCCTGAGCCGACAAGGTGAAAGAATCTGTCGATGTGCCCTTGAGCAAGGCACTTAACCTATGCTCCAGGGTCGCTGTTGATAATGGCTGACCCTGGCTGTGACCCCACTCTTTCACATGTGTGAAATAGGACAAATAAGCACCACCATGTTGTTATTAGTATTATTATGATCTATTGATTGTTCTCTTCCTTTCTCACTCCTTTTTCTTCCCCCCCAACCTCCCCCCTCCCTAACCTCCCCTCTCTCCATCCCTCCCCTTCCCTCTCTCCATCCCTCCGCTCCCCTCCCCTATCTCTCGCTCCCTCCCCTCCCTCCCTCCCTCCCTCCCTCCCTCCCTCCCTCCCTCCCTCCCTCCCTCCCTCCCTACCACTCCCCCTCCCTCCCTCCCTCCCTACCTCTCCCCCTCCCTCCCTCCCCTCTCTCTCTCCCTCCCTCCCTCCCTCCCTCTCCCCCTCCCTCCCTCCCCTCTCTCTCCCTCCCTACCTCTCCCCCTCCCTCCCCTCCCTCCCTCCCTACCTCTCCCCCTCCCTCCCTCCCTCCCCTCTCTCTCCCTCCCTCCCTACCTCTCCCCCCTCTCTCTCCCCTCTCTCCCCCTCCCTCCCTCCCCTCTCTCTACCTCCCTACCTCTCCCCCTCCCTAACCTCCCCTCTCTCCACCCCCTCCCTCCCCTCTCTCACTCCCTCCCTACCTCTAGGTGGTGAGTCGTGTGGCAGCCCAACAAGGCTTTGACTTGGACCTAGGCTACAGGCTGCTGGCTGTGTGTGCTGCTAACAGAGACAAATTTACACCCAAGTCTGCAGGTAAGAGACACCATCATCACTGACTAACTACCAGGGTCATGTTCATTAGGGCACACAATTGAAAACGAAAATGAGCATTTGTTATTGGACAAATCCAGGTAGTCCCGTCCTGTTGCAATTTGTTTTTTTCCGCTTGGTGCCAAATGAACACCACCCAGGTGAAACAGGATTGTAAAATAAAGTGTTACCCGTCTCATGATGAAGTGCAGGCTAGGAACTCACAGTATGTGACAGAACTACTGTTGAACTCCGCTGCCCAATGTTTTAACATTTCAGGAGGCCGTTTTGTGTGTATTCTCAGTCTGAGTTGATAACATGATTGTTGTAGCTAGAAGGTTGTCTGATCACATCCTGGTCACAGACATGGGATGCATCCCAAATGGCACTGTATTTTCATATAGTGCACAAATTTTAACCAGATCACTAAGGGGCCCTGGTCAAAACTAGTCCACTATATAGGGAATAGGGTGCCATTTGGAACTCAACCACGGTCATGTTTCAGGGCTTCTGTGGTTTTCTTCATTTCTGTCTTCCATTGAGAAGAGCTGTCCGGATGGCAGGCATTCTCACAGAAAACCGTCAACTCAGCAGTCTCTGAACACACGAACACTCACGTACGCACATACACACACACATATAAACATTCACACACACGGGCACACAGTCACACACATATACACACACACACACACACAACATACACACACACTACAGTAATGCTGTCCTCAGACACTTTGCCTTTCAAATCGAATTCCTCCGATCCATACCGAACTGTACCCCAGAGTGCCCATTTGTCTGAGTGAAATCTGGACAGGCAGGGGCGAGGGGGAGAGAGTGCGATGGATGGATCGATGTTTGGAGTGGTAGAGAGGTGTGGAGAAACGCCTGACAAAGCCACAACAGGTCAGAATAAAGATAAAGGGATGTTTGAAAGAACTTTGGGTAACCATGGTTACCTCAAACGTTTTGTGGTTCTAATGGAATGTGATTGGCTTGTTTTTGTGGTAAATATTTGGGAGTTGATTTCCAGTATGTTGGAACCAATACACACAACAGAATGACATTTCTCAATTTCATCTCTCATCCGCCTCTGTGCTCATCCTTAGAGAAAATTTTCAAAATCAACTGTATCTCATCTTGAAAAAGTACCTTTACTTTGTGGTTGATCCTCCTATTAGAAGGACCCAAACAGACAGACAGACAGACAGACAGACCTTCCCCCTGTTTCTGTATTGATGGTATAATGTGATTGTCATCCAGGGCTCAGGTTGGACTGTGTGGTCTATAGTTAGAATCATCTCCAGGCCTTGTGATGGCTCTGGGATCTAATAAAGAGAGTCTGGCCTTGACCTGGGCCTGATGCATCCCAAATGGCACCCTATTCCCTACGGGCCCTGGTCAAAAGAATTGGACTACGAAGGGAATATGGTGCCATTTGGGACGCAGCCTTAGAATGGGTTTCAGGGGAAGGGAAGCTTATAACTGATGGAGACAAATGGGATATGTACTGAAGGGAATTATAGATAGATGTGGGAGGGGAGGGGAGGGAGAGAGGGAGGAGGGAGGAGGGGGGGAGGAGGGAGGGAGTGTAGGTTTATCTTTCTGGAGATTCTCCTCTGATCGCTTTCCTCCCTCGCTATCAGCTCTCCTCGTACGATATACCCCTCTCTCTTCTCGTCTCTCTCTCCTCTCTCTCTCTCTCTCTCTCTTCTCTCCTCTTCTCTCTCTCTTCTCTCTCTCTCTCTCTCTCTCTCTACTCTCCTCGTCTCCTCTCTCTTCTCGTCTTATCTCTTCTCTCTCTCGCTTGACTCATACTGCTCGCTAAAAGCAATCTCACCCTACTCTACTTTCTCCCTCACTCTTCCTCCCACCACCTGTTCTCTACCCAACATCCGTCTTACCTCGGGACGCAAGGACGTCTGTCTGAGGAACCAGACAAGAGGGCGACAGACGCAGAACACACACAGACACTCTTAAGGCCACTATGTGAGGCTGGAAGAGATGATGCACCAGCCCGACCTGTATGTGTGTGTCTCCGCGCGCATAAAGTGCAGCCCCAGCACAATCCCCTGACAGCCAGGTTGGCGATAGAGGGCCCCACATCTGACACATGAGAGCCCAGACAGAGAGCAGGAGTCTGGAATCAACTCTGGCCATCTCTGGGGAGGGGAGGACAAGCCTGGTTCTCCATCCTCCAGCTCCACTCTGTATGCTGATCAATGACAGGACGGTTATTACAGCGGAGATGTTAAAATGGACATAAATTGTCTGCACACTTATAGGCCAAGTATTAATACAAATGCCAGATATTTAAACAAATGTTAACTTTACCTCTATTAGTAGTGGCTGTATTATGCTACAGGATACATAGGGGTCTGCATGTTTTACCATGCAATACGCTTCAGCAGAGATTTGGATTGTGATTTGCATTGCTTTCAGTGTGAGGTTACCTTATTGTAGCCCATCTAGCAAGAACTAGCTAGCAGTCTGAAATGCAAGATCCTCCTACAGTTAGCCACTAGCTGTTGCTATGGCAGCATTACTATCTGCAGTTAGCCATTAGCTGATAGCCGCTAGCAGTTGCTGTATCGGGGATTACCCAGCTGTAGCTAGCCATTAGCCGTTGCTGTGGATTACCTGCAGACTGTTTATGGTGCGCTTAGCAACGTCCCTGATATTGGTTACAAAGACCAGAGCTAACCCTAATCCCATTCCTCACATCTGACAGACTCATTTTCTAGCTAGTTATAGCTTTCCATGCAAATAAATACAAAGTTATTGACTAATGACAACACTGTTTCGCAAAAGAGAAGTATTTGATTGATTTCACTCGTTCAGGGATTGAATTTGAATCGACTACATGATCTTATTCGCATCGATACCACAACAAACTTTCTCATGGGTTTAGGGAAGTAGTAGACAATATGGAGTGCGCAAGAGACTGCATGACAAAGACAAGTGTGCAGCCAAAGTTTCAGTTCCTGCATACAGTAGCTTGATATTGCAGTCTGCAGCCAAATTAGCAAAGAACAGCAATGCTACATATTGCTACTTTCTTTTACCCTCTGACAAATGTGACACTACTCAGAGATAGATCTACACATACAATTGAGTGACCGTATAAAGCACTGAAGTGAGAGAGAGGATAGCTCTCTGCTGCTTGTCACAAATATATCACTGTCGTCTCTACACTGGCTACCATATTGGTGACTGATTGCTCTCAGTTTTGTGTCAGACATACTGTAGTGAAATAGAGGGTTGGGAAAATATATAACTTGGGACAAGGGAAAGAAGGTTGTCCAAGCTGTATTGGTTTGAAGTGGATGGGAGAAGGAGAAAGTATAACTCTCCTAGAGAGGTAGAGAGAGAGTGTACATTAACTTGGTTGTGAAATAGGGGGAAAGAGAGAGAGTTAACTGGGTTATGCTGGTTTGGAGTGGAGAGGGAGAAGGGAGAAGACTGTTATGAAGTTGGAGCAGGACAGAGAGAGAGTTGGCCAGGGTTCTGTGTTGGTTGGGAGAGTCCCTCCACTGACGTCCCCCTCTCTGATCTCAGACGTAAAGAATGTTAGGCAGGCCAGGCAGGGCTGTGGAGTGCTGCCAGCACTAAATCAACATAGTATGTTCACTGGGCAATCTGCTGTCGCACGTCAAGGAAAGCAACCAATCCAGCGTGTCAACAGTAACAGATCACTTCCAGTGTGAGGCAGGTTGTAACTCACACATAACACACATTCTATGTAAACACACACACATACACTATATATACAAAAGTATGTGGATACCCCTTCAAGTTAGTGGATTCGGCTATTTCAGCCACACCCGTTGATGACAGGTGTATACAATCGAGCACACAACCATGCAATCTCCATAGACAAACATTGGCAGTAGAATGGCCCTACTGAAGAGCTCAGTGACTTTCAACGTGGCACCGTCATAGGATGCCACCTTTCCAACAAGTCAGTTGGTCACATTTCTGCCCTGCTAGAGCTGCCCCGGTCAACTGTAAGTGCTGTTATTGTGAAGTGGAAACGTCTAGGAGCAACAACGGCTCAACCGTGAAGTGGTAGGCCACACAAGCTCTCAGAACGGGACCGCCGAGTGCTGAAGCGCGTAGCGTGTAAAAATCGTCTGTCCTCGGTTGCAACACTCACTACCGAGTTCCAAACTTCCACTTTAAGCAACGTCAGCAAGAGAACTGTTCGTCGGGAGCTTAATGAAATGGATTTCCATGGCCGAGCAGCTGCACACAAACCTAAGATTACCATGCGCAATACCACGCGTCGGCTGGAGTGGTGTAAAGCTCGCCACCATTGGACTCTGGAGCAGTGGAAACGCGTTCTCTGGAGTGATGAATCACGCTTCACCATCTGGCAGTACGACGGACTAATCTGGGTTTGGCGGATGCCAGGAGAACGCTACCTGCCCCAATGCATAGTGCCAACTGTAAAGTTTGGTGGAGGAGGAATAATGGTCTGGGACTGTTTTTCATGGTTCGGGCTAGGCCCCTTAGTTCCAGTGAAGGGAAATCTTAACGCTACAGCATACAATGACATTCTAGATGATTCTGTGCTTCCAACTTTGTGGCAACAGTTTGGGGAAGGCCCTTTCCTGTTTCAGCATGACAATGCCCCCGTGCACAAAGCTAGGTCCATACAGAAATGGTTTGTCAAGATCGGTGTGGAAGAACTTGACTGGCCTGCACAGAGCCTTGACCTCAACCCCATCGAACACCTTGGGATGAATTGGAACACCGACTGCGAGCTAGGCCCAACATCAGTGCCCGACCTCACTAATGCTCTTGTGGCTGAATGGAAGCAGCAATGTTCCAACATCTAGTGGAAAGCCTTCCCAGAAGAGTGGAGGCTGTGATAGCAGCAAAGGGGGGACCAATTAATGCCCATGGTTTTGGAATGAGATGTTCGACGAGCAGGTGTCCATATACTTTTGGATATGTAGTGTATGTGAACGCATGCATGCATGTACAGTGAGGAAAAAAAGTATTTAGTCAGCCACCAATTGTGCAAGTTCTCCCACTTAAAAAGATGAGAGAGGCCTGTAATTTTCATCATAGGTACACGTCAACTATGACAGACAAATTGAGAAAAGAAAATCCAGAAAATCACATTGTAGGATTTTTTATGAATTTATTTGCAAATTATGGTGGAAAATAAGTATTTGGTCACCTACAAACAAGCAAGATTTCTGGCTCTCACAGACCTGTAACTTCTTCTTTAAGAGGCTCCTCTGTCCTCCACTCGTTACCTGTATTAATGGCACCTGTTTGAACTTGTTATCAGTATAAAAGACACCTGTCCACAACCTCAAACAGTCACACTCCAAACTCCACTATGGCCAAGACCAAAGAGCTGTCAAAGGACACCAGAAACAAAATTGTAGACCTGCACCAGGCTGGGAAGACTGAATCTGCAATAGGTAAGCAGCTTGGTTTGAAGAAATCAACTGTGGGAGCAATTATTAGGAAATGGAAGACATACAAGACCACTGATAATCTCCCTCGATCTGGGGCTCCACGCAAGATCTCACCCCCGTGGAGTCAAAATGATCACAAGAACGGTGAGCAAAAATCCCAGAACCACACGGGGGGACCTAGTGAATAACCTGCAGAGAGCTGGGACCAAAGTAACAAAGCCTACCATCAGTAACACACTACGCCGCCAGGGACTCAAATCATGCAGTGCCAGACGTGTCCCCCTGCTTAAGCCAGTACATGTCCAGGCCCGTCTGAAGTTTGCTAGAGTGCATTTGGATGATCCAGAAGAGGATTGGGAGAATCTCATATGGTCAGATGAAACCAAAATAGAACTTTTGGTAAAAACTCAACTCGTCATGTTTGGAGGACAAAGAATGCTGAGTTGCATCCAAAGAACACCATACCTACTGTGAAGCATGGGGGTGGAAACATCATGCTTTGGGGCTGTTTTTTCTGCAAAGGGACCAGGACGACTGATCCGTGTAAAGGAAAGAATGAATGGGGGCCATGTATCGTGAGATTTTGAGTGAAAACCTCCTTCCATCAGCAAGGGCATTGAAGATGAAACGTGGCTGGGTCTTTCAGCATGACAATGATCCCAAACACAACCGTCCGGGCAACGAAGGAGTGGCTTCGTAAGAAGCATTTCAAGGTCCTGGAGTGGCCTAGCCAGTCTCCAGATCTCAACCCCATAGAAAATCTTTGGAGGGAGTTGAAAGTCCGTGTTGCCCAGCGACAGCCCCAAAACATCACTGCTCTAGAGGAGATCTGCATGGAGGAATGGGCCAAAATACCAGCAACAGTGTGTGAAAACCTTGTGAAGACTTACAGAAAACGTTTGACCTGTGTCATTGCCAACAAAGGGTATATAACAAAGTATTGAGAAACTTTTGTTATTGACCAAATACTTATTTTTCCACCATAATTTGCAAATAAATTCATTAAAAATCCTACAATGTGATTTTCTGGATTTTTTTTCCTCATTTTGTCTGTCATAGTTGACGTGTACCTATGATGAAAATTACAGGCCTCTCTCATTTTTTTAAGTGGGAGAACTTACACAATTGGTGGCTGACTAAATACTTTTTTCCTCACTGTATGCATGCTCATGTGCGCACACACACTCTCTCTCTCTCTCTCATCCTCTCTCTCTCTTTAGCTCTGTCTTTCACACATTAACCCCCCCCCCCCCCCCCCCCCCCCCCCCCCCCCCCCCCCCCCCCCGGTAAGTTATCTTTTCCCTGTAGCTGCGTAAGGCAAACTGGTAGTTTCTCCTTTGTTACTGACCCAATCAACCTTCCAGACTATTTAATTACTGCTGAGAGAGAGCGAGAGAGGGAGAGAGAGAGGTCCTACAACTGCATTATTAACAGGATGCTGCTATACGACTATGTATAGCGTGTGTATGTGTCTGTAAGAGGTTTCCTCTAATGCTAAGACACAGATAGAACAATGAGAGGCTGAGCTTTGCCTCCTTAGATGATGATGAAATCTCTTTGCAACATAAAAGTACCGTTAACATTTTTCAAACTAGTAAAACCCCTGAATCAGATAAGTGTACGCAGGAAAATATACTTATTTAAGGTGATTATGATGATGTTATGATTTTTACCATTAGGTGATTCATTGGTTCACATTTACAGTGACATGTAAAAAGTCATTTAGCTAATGTCAAAGCTGAATTCCAGTAGAACAGTGCTGACTTGGTCGGTCTCTTTTGTGGAGGAAAAGTGCAAAGGGGGGATATCACAGCATTTACACCTTCAGTGCAGATGTTGCACTTTTCACACAGTGCTTTACAGTGAAATGCTGCATCAGTCCTCTGTGTGTCAATTATGGTGCTCTGTAGGCCTGCTTGCCCTCTCTCTCTCTCTCTCTCTCTCTCTCTCTCTCTCTCTCTCTTTTTCCCTCTCTCTCCCTCTCTCTCTCTTTCTTTCTCTCTCTTTCTCTCTGTCTCTGATGTGCTGGCCTTTGGCCAGGTTACAGTCTGTCTAGCATGTTAGGTCCCACCCACTTCTGCAATTCAGTAATGTGAGCTGGCTGCATTTTTGTCGCCTTCCCCCTCTAGGCAAGTGTCAGTGCTGCTGCCTGTGTGTGTGAGATAGAGAGTGTGTGTGTGTGTGTATACGCTTCAGGGGGCAGTGCAATGGATCACTAGCAAATAAAACAGGAGGCATCAATAACAGCACCACACAACATAGGTGAGGAGGAGTTGTATCTCTCTCTCTATCTCCCTCCCTGTTTATATCCCTCTCTGACTCCCTTCCCTCCCTCTCTCCTTTCCTCCCTCCCTGCATCCTGTATCTGTGGAGTGAGTTGGAGCTGATAGCAGGTACAGCTGGAGGCAGGAACCCATTATTACTGAGCGATCTCTCTGATTGGCTGAGCCGACGAGACCGGGAGACTGCTTCTGAATAATAGAAGAGCGTTGGAGAGAGAGCGAGAGAGAGAGAGAGAGAGAGAGAGAGCAGCTATCGAGCAGAGCGATCGATATATATATATCGAGAGAGAGAAAGGAGAGAGAGATATAGAGAGCTACGAGTATCGAGCGACGCGATAGTGTATATGCTGAGAGATAGCTAGAGAGATCTCTCTCCTATCTCTCTCCTCCTGCATCTCTCTGCTCTCTCTCTCTATTCCTCCTCGTCTCTCTCCTGCTCTCGTCTACTCTTGTCCTTTCCCCGGTCTGCCCTGCTCTCTTTCCGCCCTCCTTTCTCTGGTCCCCTGGAGCGCAGACAACTAAAGCTGGTCAGGGGGGACACACCGTGGGGTTGTCCCCTTGTGCCGGCTCTTTTGTTTGTCTTCCATCCCTCTATCTGGTAGTGGGCTGAGTCTGAGTCTACACAGCCACTCATCCCTCTGCTCTCCGCCCCTTTTTCTCTCGTTACCCACCCCCTTTTCTTCTCGCCCCGAGCGGTTCGGGAGGGAAACACGCGATCCAGAAAAGCCAGCGCTTGGAGGAGGAACACAAGGCCCTTCTCACTTGTTCCTTGGGAAAATTATTCACTCTTTTTCCGGATTGCATTGTCTGTGCCCGTAACTTTTTTTTTTCGTGCGCTTCTTGTGTGAATGTGTGGCCATGTCCTTGCATTCTAAATATTAGGCATTTTATGTATGCGAAAAAAGTATGTTTTATAGTATGTGACATTTTACAAATTGAGGATGCTTTAAATGCCAGGATGTCATACTTATTTAGACTTTTAATCTAGTAGAATTCTCTGCACACTATTGAGGAAAATAATCGTCTTTCGAGACCCACGTGTGTCTGACAACAGCTTGTAATCAGCTGAGGGGACGCGCTGGACCAAAATGAAGGAATGGAGCGTGAGCGTACTGTATCTGTGAGTTGAGCTGTCTGCTTGAAGAGACCTCTGAAGGTATTTGTATGTAAGCATGGTTCTGTGACAGCTGTGTTGGCATGAGTCAGGCAACCCCAGTCTGCTATAAGTAGGGTCCCCTGCTGTTGCTCCAGAGAAAATGAGTGTTTTGGGTCTGAGTGTATAGATAGAATTAGACTGACTAGATTGGACACTCCTGATGGCTTCATTGATTGGAAACTTTGAATTATACTTTTTTTCTCCATGTTTTAAAACTGATCCATGTGTGTTTCCACTATTCTAAATGCAACAGTGTAAAAACCTAAAGCACTGCTAAATGTGTGATTAATTATATAAGATGATGAGAAATGTAGTACATTTCCTGTCCTAGTGGACGTATATCTATGTCTGAGAGCATGACTAGAGCCTAGCAGCACTGCCCAGGACAGACAGAGACATATCAGCTGACCAGGGCTTGACCTACTTGGGCCGCAGTTTGACACACGCACACTCACACTCACAAACACACACACACACACATACACTTGGGCCACAGTTTGCCTCACTGACCTGAGCTTTGCTTCAGAGACTGTCTGCTCGTCCAGTAAGATTGTGTAGTACTGAGAGGACAGTGGCTGCTCAACTACTAAGATTGTGTACTGGGAGGACAGTAAGATTGTGTACTGGGTGGACAGTAAGGTTGTGTACTGGGTGGACAGCAAGGTTGTGTACTGGGTGGACAGTAAGATTGTGTACTGGGTGGACAGTAAGGTTGTGTACTGGGTGGACAGCAAGGTTGTGTACTGGGTGGACAGTAAGATTGTGTACTGGGTGGACAGTAAGGTTGTGTACTGGGTGGACAGTAAGATTGTGTACTGGGTGGACAGTAAGGTTGTGTACTGGGTGGACAGTAAGGTTGTGTACTGGGTGGACAGCAAGGTTGTGTACTGGGTGGACAGTAAGGTTGTGTACTGGGTGGACAGTAAGTTTGTGTACTGGGTGGACAGCAAGGTTGTGTACTGGGTGGACAGTAAGGTTGTGTACTGGGTGGACAGTAAGTTTGTGTACTGGGTGGACAGCAAGGTTGTGTACTGGGTGGACAGCAAGGTTGTGTACTGGGTGGACAGTAAGATTGTGTACTGGGTGGACAGTAAGGTTGTGTACTGGGTGGACAGTACGGTTGTGTACTGGGTGGACAGTAAGGTTGTGTACTGGGTGGACAGTAAGATTGTGTACTGGGTGGACAGTAAGGCTGTGTACTGGGTGGACAGTACTGGGTGGACAGTACGGTTGTGTACTGGGTGGACAGTAAGGTTGTGTACTGGGTGGACAGCAAGGTTGTGTACTGGGTGGACAGCAAGGTTGTGTACTGGGAGGACAGCAAGGTTGTGTACTGGGTGGACAGTAAGGTTGTGTACTGGGTGGACAGTAAGGTTGTGTACTGGGAGGACAGCAAGGTTGTGTACTGGGTGGACAGTAAGATTGTGTACTGGGTGGACAGCAAGGTTGTGTACTGGGGGGACAGTAAGGTTGTGTACTGGGAGGACAGTGGGTGATTCACTAAGACAGACAGGGTGCAGTTCCCAGTGAACACTGTTGATCTGTTGAGCTGCACTGTGTCTGTTTCCTGTACATCTAATGTGCTCTAACCTCAGAGCTAGTGTGTGTGTGTGTCTGTGTCTGTGTGTGGCCACCCCATTTCCTCTTCTCTTAAAGGCCCAATGCAGACGTTTTTATGTCAATATCAAATCATTTCTGGGTAACAGTTAAGTACCTTACTGTGATTGTTTTCAATCAAAATGGTCAAAAAGAAACAAAAATGGCTTCTTAGCAAGAGCAGTTACTCAAGCAAGAATTTTGCTAGGACGGTCTGGGATTGGTCTGAGTTCGGAATTAGCAGGTTTGGAACTCTCTTTCTTATTGGTCTATTAATTTATTTATCACCTGGTACCCACCAAAACAGGCAAAGATTTCAGGCGGTCTTTTCGAACAGCTCTTATACTAAAAGGGCATTATCATAATTTGTACAATTTAACAGTATTATTCCAACCTCATAGTGTGGAAATACACTCAGTGGCTAGTTTATTAGATACACCACGAAAAAACGGATCGCTCCTACAGACAGTGAGTCATGTGGCTGTGGCTTGCGATATAAAGCAGGCAGACAGGCATCAAGGCATTCAGTTACTGTTCGATTGGACGTTAGAATGGGCAAAACGAGTGACCTAAGCGACTTTGAGCGTGGTATGATTGTCGGTGCCAGGCGCGCTGGATCAGGTATCTCAGAAACGGCCGCCACCCTGGGGTTTTCATGCACTAGAGTGTCTAGGGTTTACCGAGAATGGTGCGACAAACAAAAAACATCCAGTCAGCGGCAGTCCTATGGGCAAAAACAGCTTGTTGATGAGGTCGAAGGAGAATGGAAAGAATCGTGCAAGCTAATAGGAGGGCCACAAACAGACAAATAACGGCGCAGTACAACAGTGGTGTGCAGAAAAGCATCTCGGAACGCACAACTCGTCAATCCTTTTCACGGATGAGCTATTGCAGCAGACGACCACACCGGGTTCCACTCCTATCAGCTAAAAACAAGAAGAAGCCGCTCCAGTGGAAACGCGATCACCAACACTGGACAATTGAGGAGTGGAAAAACATTGCCTGGTCCGACAAATCCCATTTGCTGTTGCGTCATGCTGATGGCAGAGTCCGGATTTGGACCCATCCTGCCTGGCACAGGCAGGGGGCGGTGGTGTACTGGTGTGGGGAATGTTTTTCTGGCACACGTTAGGTCCATTGATACCAATTGAGCAACGAACGGTACTAAATGGGTGTACCTAATAAACACAGGAAAATCACATTTTTGACTGCACTAGGCCTTTAATACTAGCCTCAGGATATTGTAAATCCTATCCATCTAATGTGTTCTAACCACTGAAAAATATATAAAAAAAAAATATTTTGTAAAAAAAGAATCCTTACAGCATAAGTGTGTGTGAGTGCGTGCGTGCGAGCAAGTGTGTGATTGAGAAAGTGTGTGTGAGCATGTGTGCAGAGAGAGAGAGAGAGAGAGAGAGAGAAATAAAATTGTATTGATCACATACACGTGTTTAGCAGATGTTATTGTGGGTGTAGCGAAATGCTGTGGAAAAAAAAAAAGTGCAGATGGGAAGGTTCCTGACCCCAGGGTTAGAGATTGGACAATCCTAGTGCATCATGGGTAATTCCTGGCTGAGGTTCATAATCTTAACTGTCTGAATGCAGGTCAGATACTGTACACAGGTCATAACCCCATGCCTTCACTCTACTCTAGGCTACATTGTAATCTGGAAACTAGTATGATTTATCCTATCTCTGTGCCCTCTCAAGAGCAAAAAATGTATTGTATTGAAGTCGACCACAATAAATCATGTGTGCGGGAGTTCTTTTAATTGTTCTACATAGTGCATCATCCACCATGCCTCTCCACCTCTCTGCATCTCTTTGTGGGGTCAAGTATTCATAGCAAATCCATATTTTGATTTGGAGATATATAGTCTACTGACCCTGTAGGGCGGAATGGAAGGGTCTTTTTGCGAGGGATTGGCATGAGGTTTTTTGCTTAAGCGGGCCTAACTTTGTTTTTGTTTTGTGTGTTTTCTTTGAGCCTCGATTATTTGTGGGTTTGGTGCTGTGGCCACATACACAGGGAGACAAGACACATAAATTGCAGACTGCACCTTTAACTTGACTGTTGCTGCTGCATTTTGTGTTTTGTTCGTGATTAACCCCTCCCTCCCCAGTAAAATGTGTAATTTGAACCCTACAGAAACCAACACCTGCAGGAGATGTCAGAGTGACTCAGGTAGCTAACCTCCCTCCCTCCATCCCTCGCTCCCTCCATCCTTCTCTGGCGCTGACCACCCTTGTCGTTACACTCATCCCTCCATCTCCATCTCTCCACCTCCCCATCTCCACCTCTCCATCTGTCTGCTCCGTATGCCCACAGAGGCCAAATCAAACTGGCACTGTGAGAAAACCTGAACAGTTGTGTTTCAGTAAACAAATAAAAAACTGACCGTTTAAAAAATAATGTGATTATTTACCCTGAGCTGGTTTCTCCTGCAGTGCGGTTTTGATTGAATCTGCCCCAGAGTCATAGAGAGAGATTATAAACCCATTGGATGTGCTTCTGGTTGGGCAGAGGCTAGCAGAGTGGAGTGGAGTGGAGGGGGGTCATTGGCTGGGAAGGATATCATTGGCTGCTTAAATGGGTTCCATTACGGTTTTGCAGAAGCATGACTTTGTCTGCATCCCAAATGGCACCCTATTCCCTATATTTAGGGCACGATCTAGGGAATAGGGTGCCATTTGGGATGCACCCTTTTGATTTCAGGAGGATTTGATATCCTCTCGCCATATTTTGCATACATTATTCTGCCCACATAACACAGCATACTGTCTGGAGCTTATATAGATAGAACTTATGATTTTATAGAAATACCTTTCTTTTTTTTGTCTCGTATCACACATTGTAGGTGTATAGGCGTCCAATGTGTTCTGAGAATTTGTACTGTCTCATATATATGTGTATAATGTGTACTACCTCGATCTGTAGTGTATGTGAGCTGATCTGCATGTGTGTCTGTATCAGAGTAATGTGGGCTGCACAGTCAAATACAGTAATGTGGGCTAGTCTGTGACGTCACTGCTTACCGCATTCATCCATACTGTACGTTCGGTGGAAATGTGTGCTCTGGTCTTTTAAACTTGTTGTTTATTATGTAGAAGTGCTGAGATATCGCAGTGTCAACAACAGAGAAAGAGACACTATGTGGCCAAAAGTATATGGACACCTGCACGTCGAACATCTCATTCCAAAATCATGGGCATTAATATGGAGTTGGTCCCCCTTTTCTGCTATAACAGCCTCCAGTCTTATGGGAAGGCTTTCCACTAAATGTTGGAACATTGCTGCGGGGACTTGCTTCCATTCAGCCACGAGCATTAGTGAGATCAGGCACGGATGTTGGGCGATTAGGCCTGGCTCTAGGTCGGCGTTCCAATTCATCCCAAAGGTGTTCGATGGGGTTGAGGTCAGGGCTCTGTGCAGGCCAGTCAAGTTCTTCCACACCGATCTTGACAAACCATTTCTGTATGGACCTCGCTTTGTGTACAGGGGCATTGCCATGCTGAAACAGGAAAGGGCCTTCCCCAAACTGTTGCCACAAAGTTGGAAGCACAGAATCATCTAGAATGTCATTGTATGCTGTAGCGTTAAGATTTCCCTTTACTGGAACTAAGGGTCCTAGCCCGAACCATGAAAAACAGTCCCAGACCATTATTACTCCTCCACCAAACTTTACAGTTGGCTCTATGCATTGGTGCAGGTAGCGTTCTCCTAGCATCCGCCAAACCCAGATTTGTCCGTCGCACTGCCAGATGGTGAAGTGTGATTCATCACTCCAGTGAACTTGTTTCCACTGCTCCAGAGTCCAATGGAGGCGAGCTTTACACCACTCCAGCCGACGCTCCCGATGAACAGTTATTGTGCTTACGTTGCTTCCAGAGACAGTTTGGAACTCAGTAGTGAGTATTGCATCTGAGGACAGGCGATTTTTACGCGTTACGCGCTTCAGCAGTCGGCATTCCTGTTCTGTGAGCTTGTGTGGCCTACCACTTCGCGGCTGAGCCGTTGTTGCTCCTAGACGTTTCCACTTCACAATAACAGCACTTACAGTTGACCGGGGCAGCTCTAGCAGGGCAGAAATGTGACCAACTGACTTGTTGGAAAGGTGGCATCCTATGACAGTGCCACGTTGAAAGTCACTGAGCTCTTCAGTACGGGCCATTCTACTGCCAATGTTTGTCTATGCAGATTGCATGGCTGTGTGCACCAACGGGTGTGGCTGAAATAGTCCACATACTGTATAATGATGACTGTGCCTTTCAGTGTGGAAGAGGAGAATCCCTGGAGATAGTCTCACCTCCACTAGCTAAAAAAACGGAGTCATCCAGCCTGTGTGAACAGCAGGAAGTGTAACCTGGGGAAACAGGCTGTTGCGCCCCAATTAACTAATATGAGAGAGAGAGAGAGAGAGAGAGAGAGACTGCTGCTACTACTACTATTATTGCTACTACTACTGCTGCTACTACTGTTATTACTACTACTACTACTACTACTGCTACTGCTATTATTACTACTACTGCTACTACTACTACTACTGCTGCTGCTACTACTGCTATTACTACTACCACCACTAGTCATTTTGAACTCAAATGTTCCGATGACCCATAGCCATATGTCTGCAGGCATTAACTCAGTAAAAAGGCAGATCTTCTTAGAAGGGGAGCCATGCACAAGAGGGTTTACAGGGAGGGCTTAGAAGTCTCTACTAAATCTGCTTACTGCTCACTGACTGACTGGCTGGGAGAGAGCAGCTACTAGGGCAGACTGGGACTGGGAAGGGTAAAGTTGCTCCTAGAAATCTTTGATTTGTTTTGCATTTTCCCCACTAATGGTAAAGGTTGGGATTGGGGGAGGGGATGCTGATCATAGATCTATACCTAGGGGAAAAGTCACCCCAGAACAGACTGGGGCAAGTGGTGAGTGGTTTCTGGGATGGACAGGGGATAGCCTGGTGGAACCAGCCTGATTGCTGCGTTCACCATTCTGTTTTCTGTTGGTATAGTCACTTTCTAAACCAACCACAATGGAAATAAGACACTGACATGTTTATGTATCTAATACAATCACCTAATCAATCCAACTTCGTTATTGGAGAGAGGTGTAGTGGTACAATTTCTCTCTCAGGCTTTCAACTTCTTCCTTTCAACCCCCCTCACGCTCTCTCTTTCTCTCTCTCCATCACTCCCTCTTTCTCTCTCCTTTTCTCCATCTCTCTCCCCTCTCTTTCTCTCACTCTCTCTCCATCTCTCCCTCTCTCTTTCTCCCTCTCTCTATGGCCTATAATGTGTATGAGCTGAGCCCAGTGTTGTTCGTGCGGGGGTCTGTCCCAATTTCAAATGGCACCCTATTCCCTATATAGTGCACTTCGTTTGACCTCCCATGGTGCTCTGGTCATAATGGGGAAAGGGTCCATTTGGGACACTGCCTGGGTGTAAATAGCGGGTTGCCAGGTCTTGCAACAGGCTGGGCGTGCGGAGGGAGGACGGAGGTGGTGATTTAGTGGGGAGATAAGCTCTCTGTAATGGCAGGGTGGAATAATTCCCCGTCAAATAGGAGGGATGCGTCTCTCCTCCCTCTAGCTGTGAGATTCTGTCTGCATAGAGACTGGCTTGGTGTGTCTCACTCTTCTCTTCTCTTCTCTTCTCTTCTCTTCTCGGGGGCGGAGGGAGCTTCTCTCTCTTTCTCTTTCTCCTCTTTTCCTTTATCTATTCCTTCTCTGGATCGTTACGTATAGTTCTCGTAGGTCTTCCTGTCGATCTATTCTCTATTCCTCTCTCTATCGAGTTCTCAGATTCCTCATTTCTCTCGTCTCTTCTCTTTCTCTTCTCTTCTCTTCTTTCCTCTCTTCTCCTTCTCTCTCCTCTCCTCTATTCATTGCTCAATTAAGGCTTTGCTGTTCGATCTCAAACTCCTTTTGAGCTTATTTTCTGTGTTAAGGTGTTAGACCTCGATAACTCTTCTAATGTACATCAAACCCATGTCATAAGGATGTTTGCCTGCCTGACCTCCCGAGTGACGCAGTGGTCTAAGGCACTGCATCGCAGTGCTAGCTGTGCCACTAGAGATCCTGGTTCGAATCCAGGCTCTGTCGTAGCCAGCCGCGACCGAGAGACCCATGGGGTGGCGCACAATTGGCCCAGCGTCGTCCAGGGTAGTGTAGGGGAGGGAATGGCCAGCAGGGATGTAGCTCAGTTGGTAGAGCATGGCGTTTGCAACGCAAGGGTTGTGGGTTCGATTCCCACGGGGGGCCAGTATGAAAAAATAATGTATGCACTCACTAACTGTAAGTCGCTCTGGATAAGAGCGTCTGCTAAATGACAAAAATGTAAATGGTGCAGCAGACAGTTACCTTTCATAAGGATGTTTGACTGCCTGGTGCAGCAGACAGTTTCATGTCTCATAATGATGTTTGACTGCCTGGTGCAGCAGAAAGTTGCCTGTCTCATAATGATGTTTGACTGCCTGGTGCAGCAGAAAGTTGCCTGTCTCATAATGATGTTTGACTGCCTGGTGCAGCAGAAAGCTGCCTGTCTCATAATGATGTTTGACTGCCTGGTGCAGCAGAAAGCTGCCTGTCTCATAATGATGTTTGACTGCCTGGTGCAGCAGAAAGCTGCCTGCAGCGAAGATGATTGAAGATGCTGAGCAGTCTGATTAGTCATTGGGGTCCAGTGGAGGGGAGGAGAGGAGGAGGAGGGGTGAGAGGAGGAGGCGAGGAAAGGTGGGGAGAGGACGGGCATACTCTCTCTCTCGATATCTCTCTCTCTGTCTCTCGCTCTCCCTTTCCCCATCTCTCTTCTCTCTCTCTCTCTCTCTGCGTTTCACCCGTCCTCTTCAGAAAGCCAGGGAAGTCTCTTCTAGAGGGATCAGAGCTGATGTACTGCACTGTGTGATTCATTCAGTCAACGAGATCTATACTGGCAGACAGGCAGCAACAGACATGCTGGCATTACTGTGTTAGGGTTCCTCCATGTGGCAGGAGGCAGAACTGCAGTCCAACTTGAAGAGGGAGAAGCAACACTCAAATGTATTGGGCAGAACAAAACAATAACATAGTTGATTAATCAATTGAGATATTTTTTATCAAGTTTTTGATGGGCATTTGATAGGGTTTGTTTGTTTGTTTTTCTCTTACAGAGAGTCCGAAGTAGTCAGGAAAACAACATCATAGGTTTGGTAATAGAGACTGACTTACTTCAAACTGACATACTGGAGACATACCAGAGACTGTCATAGCAGACCGACAGACTGGAGTGTAGACTGACCTGTGTGTGTGTCCTACAGCGTTATTAGACTGACATGAGTGTGTGTGTGTTTCTTTCCTTGTAGCCTTGCTGTCATCGTGGTGCGAGGAGCTGGGTCGCCTCCTGCTGTTGCGTCACCAGAAGAGCAGACAGAACGAGCCCCCGCAGAGCAAAGTCCCCATGCAGCCCAGCATAAACACTATGAAACCCCCCGGAGGACTCTCACACGGGTCAGTGTGTCTGTCTGTCTTTCTGTCAGAATGACTGACGTTCCCTAAGCTTTGCCTACTTTACAGTCCCATGTTTTCTGTTTTACACATAGGGACACATTGTCACATTCAGAACTACAGGTGTGAACACATTTCATGTAAACGCACACTCCCTCATTGGTTCTCTGGTTTAAACTGGATCGTTCATGTTAACTTAAACAATGTTGACCTAAAACAATTTCGATACGCATCTAGATGCATGGGCTCTGATATAATTTAGGAACGATAGGTTTTAGTTTGAAACGATTCGGTGCGATTCAGTTTGATAAGGGGAATGAATCGATGCGATTCAGTTCGATTCGATGCACTAACATTTGTTGCATGAACACATTCGTCTTCCATTTTAAATTCATACCAACTGCTGATGGGAGCTCAGGAGCTGGGCCTCTCTGAGCTGGACCTGTCTGAGCTGGGCCTCTCTGAGCTGGACCTGTCTGAGCTGGGCCTCTCTGAGCTGGACCTGTCTGAGATGACGTCTCTAAGCTGAGTGGCCCTCTGTGTGTGTGTGCGTGTCAATGCCAATTGGGTGTGGAGGCTGGTGGTAGGAGCTATAGGAGGACGGACTCATTGTAATAGCTGGAATGGAATGAATGGAACTGTATCAAACAGATCAAACATATGGAAACCATGTTTGACTCCGTTCCATTAATTCCATTCCAGCTATTACAATGAGCCCATCCTCCTATAGCTCCTCCCACCAGCATCCACTGGTGTAGACACTTGAGCTGAGCCATTGGGCATCTACCACCCCACTATCAGAATAGGGGTGGGGGAAATATATGCTTTTCATCTGAAATCACCCAGTGATTAACTTGTGAAATTAAATCTGAATGATTGAAAACCCCAATCAGCAGTTGGATGTGAGTTGCGTCCACTCTGGCAGGCTACACAACTCTGGTAAAACACAATTTTCGACAGTGCATTTGGTAACAATGACCCAGCAAACTAATAAAGCCTATGATTTGACATTGCGGAAGCCATTTTACAAGCATCTGAATCCTGAAGGTGCCAGATGTACGGATAGCCTATTAGAACAGGGATAAGCATACCTCTCGTTGGCGCGAGCAGCTGTGTCTCCCGCACTGTGCACACAGTTGTTATCTGACAGTCATACGCAGTTACATGCATAAAAGTTTGATAGGCTACTGAACTGAAGGAGAGGACGCAACAATTCAGTCACAACAGATAAGAAGTATTTTCGGGCTCCCGAGTGGCGCAGCGGTCTACGGCACTGCATCTCAGTGCATCTCAGTGCTTGAGGCGTCACTACAGACCCCCTGGTTTGATTCCAGGCTGTATCACAACCGGCCGTGATTGGGAGTCCCATAGGGTGGCGCACAATTGGCCCAGCGTCGTCCGGGTTTGGCCGGGGTAGGCAGTCATTGTAAATAAGAATTTGTTTTTAACTGACTTGCCTAGTTAAATAAAGGTTTAATTAAAAATAAATAATAAAAATGTCAGAATAAAACAATGTGAGTAACAAACATTAGTGAACTGCTGATTTAGTAACGTTTGAATCAGTTTTCTGACTGAAGCATACTTCATTTGGATCGGTTTGGGCTCCCACAGACCGATGCACTCTTATCTTAAACATTTGAATCGGGGACCGATGCTTATCGGTGAATCGTTACATCCCAGCTTATGTTGCATTTAACCTGCTCTCTAAACTAGACTATCCTCTTCTCTCCTCAAATAAATAAATACATGTTTTTCTGTTCATGAAAGTGAGCCAAGACAAGCTTAGCAGAGTTATCTTGGAGGAGAGGGACACACACACACACACACACACACACACACACACACACACACACACACACACACACACACAGAAAGAGGGAGTGGGCTGTTAAGTAGAAACATTCTGTGCTCGCCCCGATGGCTCCGATTCCAAACCTCTGTCTGATTGGCTGCCAGAATTCTGCTCTGTGCCTAGCATCTTGGGAAGTCTTCTACCACCTTGAAGAGACGTTGTAAATCGAGTTCCCTTCCAACACCAGAGCTGTGTGTGTGTGTGGTGCGTTTGTGTGTGTGCGTTCGTGAGTGTGTGAAAACACATTCCTCTCCAAAAACGTTACTTCCCAGTCTGTTTCTCCCTGTGGAGTTTAGTTTGTGTATTCATAATGTTCCAGTTACTCATATTATAGCCTTGGATTTGTTTGGAGTTTTAATGCCAAATATTCCAAATAACATATACATGGCCAAATGTTTCCAAGAATTATGAGCACATTTCACATTTCTGGGCGGATAGTGCAATCCTCTGTGTTACATACTTGGCCAAATGAAAGCCATGGCTGTCACGTTGGTGTATCTGCCCTGTGGTGATGACAGGGTCTGTCTGTGTGTGTGTGTGTGTGTGTGTGTGTTCTGCAGTGATGGGTTAATGTGTGTGTTCGTATTTGTACTGTAGTGATGGGTCATTTACCTACGACTCGGTTCCATGGCAACAGAACAACAACCAGCCCCCAGGGTCATTGTCTGTGGTTACCACAGTGTGGGGTGTGACCAACACGTCACAGAGTCAGGTGAGACACAAAACACACACACACACACTCTTCAGTACACATGACTTGATGTTTAGACACACAATACACCATTGTATTGAGTCTAGTAATTGAGGTTCCTGATGAGGACAGACCCTGAATCCCCCTAGGCACATTTATTTGGATTTCTGATGTCGGTCAAAATATGGTTTGCTGTGTGTGTCACCCAAAGCTAGGCCTATATCAAAGATCACAAGTCCCAGACAGTGAGTCGACATCATAGTTACATATTCTATGGTTGCCATAACCCTGTTTGCTGTGTCTAACCAAAAAGCTATATCAAGGATCAGTTGTTAGAGCAAAAAAATATGTGAGGGGATTTGACCTTTGACCCTTCTTCCCCAGGTATTGGCCAACAGCTCCAGCCATGTGAACCCAGGAGGTAACCCCATGGGCCAGGGTATGTCTGGAGGTCCGGCAGGCCTCAACTCCCCCCAGTTCCCCGGCCAGCAGCAGCAGCAGTTCCCGGCCAAGGGAGGTCAGGGCTACATGCAGCAGGGGATGTATGGCAGGCAGGGATACCCCGGTGGAGCGGTCTACAGCGGGAGGTAAGAGGCCATACACAGACATGTATGACATTAACATTCTGTTTATCACTCTTACTCTATGCTTTGCTTACCTTTTCACACATACAGTACACAGCTCTAATTCATGTTGTTTCCGTTATATAGTTACCCAGGTGGTCCTAACACTCCCCAAGGGGGGATGGGCATGCCCCAACATTCCCGCCAGCCTGGTGACTTCACCCAACCAGCAGCTGCTGCTGCTGCTGCTGCTGTCGCTGCCGCCGCTGCTACGGCAACCGCCACGGCAACCGCTACCGTGGCAGCCATGCAGCAGGAGACCCAGAACAAAGAGATGAACCAGTATGGACAGGTACGGACACACACACACATACAGTACACACACCATTACCATAATACAACAAATACTAAAAGTTAGAAACAACTTTAGTTATTTACTTGTAATATCCTGTTTTGGGCCTGAGGAAAGTCAGGTATTACTACATGCATTACACACTAAATACACATTAAAACCATAGACTCAAACCTGCAGCTTCCTACCTAACTGTAACTCTTCATCCTTTCTTTTTCCTCTAGATGTGTTCCTCCTTCCAGATGGGCCCAACTCAGGCCTACAACAACCAGTTCATGAACCAGCCTGGCCCCAGAGGGTCCCCTGGAGGCATGAACCCAGGCAGCATGGGCCAGGCCATGAACAACCCCAGCATGGGTGGGCCTCCCATGGGCATGAACCAAACTCGAGCCCCAGGCATGGGGCCTTTTGGGGCTCATGGCCAGAGGATGTCCCAGCAGGGCTACGGAGGATCTGGAGGCCCCAGGCAGGCAATGCCTATGCAGGGAATGAAGAGGCCCTATCCTGGAGAGGTGAGTTGGATGGTATGTGTGTTTGTGTGTTTGTGTGTGGGGGGTGCTTTTCCTTTGAGTATTATATTATCATAGTACATCCCTATCATGCCTTTCTCTAGTAGGTCCATTTCCTTTATTTATGTCTTCAGACCAATGCCTACTTCTCTTTTTATTAACTTATTGATTGATCCCCCCCCCCCCCCCCCCCCTCCCCCTCTCTTCCTTACAGCCAAACTACGGGGGTCAGCAGTACGGTCCTAATGGTCAGTTCCCTCACCAGCAGAGTCAGTACCCCTCCTCTAACCCCTCCAGGCCGATGCCCTCCCCCAACTACCCCGGCCAGAGGATGCCTGGGGGTCAGGGGCCAGGCCAGTACCACCCGCAAGGCATGCCCATGGGACAGTATTACAAGGTTAGACCTCCCCCACAGTAACACTCCATATCTACCTGTAAGCTCTAGACCTCCCCCACAGTAACACTCCATATCTACCTGTAAGCTCTAGACCTCCCTCACAGTAACACTCCATATCTACCTGTAAGCTCTAGACCTCCCTCACAGTAACACTCCATATCTACCTGTAAGCTCTAGACCTCCCCCACAGTAACACTCCATATCTACCTGTAAGCTCTAGACCTCCCTCACAGTAACACTCCATATCTACCTGTAAGCTCTAGACCTCCCTCACAGTAACACTCCATATCTACCTGTAAGCTCTAGACCTCCCCCACAGTTACACTCCATATCTACCTGTAAGCTCTAGACCTCCCCCACAGTAACACTCCATATCTACCTGTAAGCTCTAGACCTCCCCCACAGTAACACTCCATATCTACCTGTAAGCTCTAGACCTCCCTCACAGTAACACTCCATATCTACCTGTAAGCTCTAGACCTCCCCCACAGTAACACTCCATATCTACCTGTAAGCTCTAGACCTCCCTCACAGTAACACTCCATATCTACCTGTAAGCTCTAGACCTCCCTCACAGTAACACTCCATATCTACCTGTAAGCTCTAGACCTCCCTCACAGTAACACTCCATATCTACCTGTAAGCTCTAGACCTCCCTCACAGTAACACTCCATATCTACCTGTAAGCTCTAGACCTCCCCCACAGTAACACTCCATATCTACCTGTAAGCTCTAGACCTCCCTCACAGTAACACTCCATATCTACCTGTAAGCTCTAGACCTCCCTCACAGTAACACTCCATATCTACCTGTAAGCTCTAGACCTCCCTCACAGTAACACTCCATATCTACCTGTAAGCTCTAGACCTCCCCCACAGTAACACTCCATATCTACCTGTAAGCTCTAGACCTCCCCCACAGTAACACTCCATATCTACCTGTAAGCTCTAGACCTCCCCCACAGTAACACTCCATATCTACCTGTAAGCTCTAGACCTCCCCCACAGTAACACTCCATATCTACCTGTAAGCTCTAGACCTCCCTCACAGTAACACTCCATATCTACCTGTAAGCTCTAGACCTCCCTCACAGTAACACTCCATATCTACCTGTAAGCTCTAGACCTCCCCCACAGTAACACTCCATATCTACCTGTAAGCTCTAGACCTCCCCACAGTAACACTCCATATCTACCTGTAAGCTCTAGACCTCCCCTCCTGTTCCCATTGTGCAGTTGTACATTTAACCATTGATGTCTGTTTCATTCACAGCAAGAGCCATTCAATGGTCAGAACAGCAACTTCTCTGGAGGTGTATACTCATATAGTCAAGGCAACGGGGTATGTGCGCTCTCCTATGTTCAACTTTGTCTAAGCAAATGGAACTTCCAACAGAGTTATTTGAATTCTCTATCTCTCATGTTTTTTTTATAACCTGTATCACTCTCCTTCCCTCTCTCCCCTTCCCCCTCCCTCCTCCCCCCTCTCCCCTCCCTCCTCCCCCCTCTCTGCAGGCCCCCAGGCCAGGTAACTACCCACACTCCCCGGTGCCTGGTAATCCCACACCTCCCATGACCCCCGGAAGCAGTATGCCTCCGTACCTCTCGCCCAACCAGGATGTCAAGCCGCCGTTCCCGCCAGACATGAAACCAAATATAACTGCGCTTCCACCTCCCAGTGAGTATTTACACTGGAGCATCCACACACAAACACACATGGATGCATGGATGCATGCATGCACACACACACACATGTACAGTATGTATGTATGTATGTATGTATGTATGTATGTATGTACACTACATGACCAAAAGTATGTGGACACCTGCTTGTCGAACATCTCATTCCCCCTTTGCTGCTATAATAGCCTCCACTCTTCTGGGAAGGCTTTCCACTAGATGTTGGAACATTGCTGCAGGGACTTGCTTCCATTCAGCCACAAGAGCATTAGTGAGGTCGGGCACTGATGTTGGGCGATTAGGCCTTGCTCGAAGTCGGCTGTAGCGTTAAGATTTCCCTTCACTGGAACTAAGGGGCCTAGCCCGAACCATGAAAAACAGCTCCAGACCATTGTTGCTCCTCCACCAAACTTTACAGTTGGCACTATGCATTGAGGCAGGTAGCGTTCTCCTGGCATCCGCCAAACCCAGATTCGTCCGTCGTACTGCCAGTTGGTGAAGCGTTATTTATCACTCCAGAGAATGCATTTTCACTGCTCCAGAATCCAATGGCGGCGATGACCCATTTGCTCGGCCATGACCAATTTCATGAAGCTCCCGACGAACAGTTACTGTGCTGACGTTGCTTCCGGAGGCAGTTTGGAACTTGTAGTGAGTGTTGCAACTGAGGACAGACAATTTTTACGCGCTTCAGCACTCGGTGGTCCCGTTCTATGAGCTTGTGTGGCCTACCACTTCACAGCTGAGCTGTTGTTGCTCCTAGACGTTTCCACTTCACAATAACAGCACTTACAGTTGACCGGGGCAGCTCTAGCAGGGCAGAAATGTGACCAACTGACTTGTTGGAAAGGTGGCATCCTATGACGTTGCCACGTTGAAAGTCACTGAGCTCTTCAGTACAGGCCATTCTACTGCCAATGTTTGTCTATGAAGATTGCATGGCTGTGTGCTCGATTTTATACACCTGTCAGCAACGGGTGTGGCTGAAATAGCCAAATCCACTAATTTGAAGGGGTGTCCACATACTTTTGTATATATATAGTGTGTGTGTGTGTGTGTGTGTGTGTGTGTGTGTGTGTGTGTGTGTGTGTGTGTGTGTGTGTGTGTGTGTGTGTGAATATACAGTATGTAAGTATGCATGCACACAAACACACACACACAAACACACACACACACAGCAGAGCTATTCCAAGCTGTCAGTAGCTCTTTAGATACCTGTGGCTGAAAATACAACAAAGCCTGCACAACAAAGTATTAGCAGAACATCGATGTTTTTATTTCCATTTCATGAGATACAGTACAAAGCCACTGAGACACAACTAGTCCACTACATCACCATCATCACGTGGCTGTACAATCCTATGGTTAGATGCTATGAGTCAACAACAGCCATGTATTTATTATTATTATTATGTATCAGGGCAGCATGTAGTAGTGATCAGGGTTGGGCTCAATTCCTTTTCAATTTCAGTCCATTCCTTTTCAATTCCTTTTCAATTCCTTTTCAATTCAGGAAGTACACTGAAACTACAATTCCAATTATCTTCAATGCTTTTCAATTGGAAACATTTGGAATTTGAATTTGGTTTACTTTCTGAATTGACTGGAAATGAAATGGAATTGAGCCCAACCCTGATCACTACTACATGCTGCCCTGATACATGGCTGTTGTTGACTCATAGCATCTAACCATAGGATTGTACAGCCACGTGATAGTCAGGGTAATACCACCCAGTGATATCCCGTTGCCCCAACCACTGTCTACTGTATGTGTGACTGTTAATCAACCAGTATACAACTCTAACCCCACTACCACAGATACCACAGATACAGTTAAACGGAAAGCTGACGTCCTATCTTCCTGTCCTGTCTCTCCGCTCCAATCAGCCAATCCCAACGAGGAGCTGCGGTTGACCTTCCCGGTCCGGGACGGCGTGGTGTTGGAACCTTTCCGGTTGGAGCACAACCTCGCCGTCAGTAATCACGTCTATCACCTGCGACCGTCGGTACACCAGACCCTCATGTGGAGGTGAGCTATGGAGACAGACAGACAGACACACACACACGGACACACACACACATTCGATCGTCCATTGAGTTGAGACTCAAGTCTTATTATTTTTCTTTACCTCTACAAATGTTCTTCCCCTAATAATATGGCCTATCCATGGCAACCATGTTATCATTCCCTGGACAATATTGACCAATTGCAGTCCTGAGAACATCACCTTTTACTGCAGTGGGCTAAATCAGGGTCACACAGAGTGTTTCTTGGTAGTCTTAAACAAATCTGCTTTGAAACAAAAGTATACACCTCACACACATGGTTATGGGCTTAAAGAAAAGAAGACACCTGTACCATGTCAGATACAGAGTTGAAATGTATTTAATTTTGAGTTTGCATCCAAATATTACACTTTATCACAGATGACTGAAATATAAAAATTTTTGTTTTTAATTGTTTCATTTTATTTATTGTTTATTAATTATGACATTATGAACAATATTAATAACAAAGAGGGTGCTTTTGGTCATTGACTGCAGGAAAGGGCTACAGAACTTTCAACTAAGCTTATTAAATCAAATAAAATCAAATAAAATTGTATTGGTCACATGCGCCGAATACAACAGGTGCAGACATTACAGCGAAATGCTTACTTACAGCCCTTAACCAACAGTGCATTTATTTTTAACAAAGAAAGTAAAAATAAAACAACAACAAAAAAAGTGTTGAGAAAAAAAAGAGCAGAAGTAAAATAAAATAACAGTAGGGAGGCTATATATACAGGGGGGTACCGGTGCAGAGTCAATGTGCGGGGGCACCGGCTAGTTGAGGTAGTTGAAGTAATATGTACATGTGGGTAGAGTTAAAGTGACTATGCATAAATAATTAACAGAGTAGCAGCAGCGTAAAAAGGATGGGGTGGGGGGGCAGTGCAAATAGTCCGGGTAGCCATGATTAGCTGTTCAGGAGTCTTATGGCTTGGGGGTAGAAGCTGTTGAGAAGTCTTTTGGACCTAGACTTGGCACTCCGGTACCGCTTGCCGTGCGGTAGCAGAGAGAACAGTCTATGACTAGGGTGGCTGGAGTCTTTGACAATTTTGAGGGCCTTCCTCTGACACCGCCTGGTATAGAGGTCCTGGATGGCAGGAAGCTTGGCCCCAGTGATGTACTGGGCCGTACGCACTACCCTCTGTAGTGCCTTGCGGTCGGAGGCCAAGCAGTTGCCATACAAGGCGGTGATGCAACCAGTCAGGATGCTCTCGATGGTGCAGCTGTATAATTTTTTGAGGATCTGAGGACCCATGCCAAATCTTTTCAGTCTCCTGAGGGGGAATAGGCTTTGTCGTGCCCTCTTCACGACTGTCTTGGTGTGTTTGGACCATGATAGTTCGTTGGTGATGTGGACACCAAGGAACTTGAAGCTCTCAACCTGTTCCACTACAGCCCCGTCGATGAGAATGGGGGCGTGCTCAGTCCTCTTTTTTTTTCCTGTAGTCCACAATCATCTCCTTTGTCTTGGTCACGTTGAGGGAGAGGTTGTTGTCCTGGCACCACACGGCCAGGTCTCTGACCTCCTCCCTATAGGCTGTCTCATCGTTGTCGGTGATCAGGCCTACCACTGTTGTGTCGTCGGCAAACTTAATGATGGTGTTGGAGTCGTGCCTGGCCATGCAGTCATGGGTGAACAGAGAGTACAGGAGGGGACTGAGCACGCACCCCTGAGGGGCCCCCGTGTTGAGGATCAGTGTGGCAGATGTGTTGTTACCTACCCTTAACACCTGGGGGCGGCCCGTCAGGAAGTCCAGGATCCAGTTGCAGAGGGAGGTGTTTAGTCCCAGGATCCTTAGCTTAGTGATGAGCTTAGAGGGCACTATGGTGTTGAATGCTGAGCTGTAGTCAATGAATAGCATTCTCACGTAGGTGTTCCTCTTGTCCAGGTGGGAAAGGGCAGTGTGGAGTGCAATAGAGATTGCATCATCTGTGGATCTGTTGGGGCGGTATGCAAATTGGAGTGGGTCTAGAGTTTCTGGAATAATGGTGTTGATGTGAGCCATGACCAGCCTTTCAAAGCACTTCATGGCTACAGACGTCAGTGCTACGGGTCGGTAGTCATGTAGGCAGGTTATCTTAGAGTCCTTGGGCATGGGGACTATGGTGGTCTGCTTGAAACATGTTGGTATTACAGACTCAGTCAGGGACATGTTGAAAATGTCAGTGAAGACACTTGCCAGTTGGTCAGCTAATGCTCGGAGTACACGTCCTGGTAATCCGTCTGGCCCTGCGGCCTTGTGAATGTTGACCTGCTTAAAAGTCTTACTCACATCGGCTACGGAGAGCGTGATCACATAGTCATCCGGAACAGCTGGTGCTCTCATGCATGCTTCAGTGTTGCTTGCCTCGAAGCGAGCATAGAAGTGGTTTAGCTCGTCTGGTAGGCTTGTGTCACTGGGCAGCTCGCGGCTGTGCTTCCCTTTGTAGTCTGTAATAGTTTTCAAGCCCTGCCACATCCGACGAGCGTCAGAGCCAGTGTAGTACGATTCAATCTTAGTCCTGTATTGACTCTTTGCCTGTTTGATGGTTCGTCAGAGGGCATAGCGGGATTTCTTATAAGCATCCGGGTTAGAGTCACGTTCCTTGAAAGCGGCAGCTCTACCCTTTAGCTCAGTGCGGATGTTTCCTGTAATCCATGGCTTCTGGTTGGGGTATGTACGTACGGTCACTGTGGGGATGACATCATCGATGCACTTATTGATGAAGCCAGTGACTGATGTGGTGTACTCCTCAATGCTGTCTGAAGAATCCCGGAACATGTTCCAGTCTGTGCTAGCAAAACAGTCCTGTAGCTTAGCATCTGCGTCATCTGACCACTTTTTTATTAACCGAGTCACTGGTGCTTCCTGCTTTAGTTTTTGCTTATAAGCAGGAATCAGGAGGATAGAGTTATGGTCAGATTTGCCAAATGGAGGGCGAGGGAGAGCTTTGTATGCGTCTCTGTGTGTGGAGTAAAGGTGGTCTAGAGTTTTTTTTTCCTCTGGTTGCACATTTAACATGCTGGTAGAACGGATTTAAGTTTCCCTGCATTAAAGTCCCCGGCCACTAGGAGCGCTGCATCTGGATGAGCGTTTTCCTGTTGATTTATGGCCTTGTACAACTCATTCAGTGCAATCTTAATGCCAGCATTGGTTTGTGGTGGTAAATAGACAGCTATGAAAAATATAGATGAAAACTCTCTTGGTAAATAGTGTGGTCTACAGCTTATCATAAGATACTCTACCTCAGGCGAGCAAAACCTCGAGACTTCCTTAGTATTTGATTTTGTGCACCAGCTGTTGTTTACAAATATACACAGACCGCCACCCCTTGTCTTACCGGAGTCAGCCGTTCCATCCTGCCGATGTAGCGTATAGCCCGCTAGCTGTATGTTATCCATGTCGTCGTTCAGCCACGACTCGGTGAAACATAAGATATTACAGTTTTTAATGTCCCGTTGGTAGGATAACCGTAATCTTAGGTCATCCAATTTGTTATCCAATGATTGAAGATTGGCTAATAGGATTGATGGAAGAGGCAGTTTACTCGCTCGCCGTCGGATCCTTACAAGGCACCCCGATCTACGTCCACGATATCTCCGTCTCTTCCTCACGCGAATGACGGGGATTTGGGCCTTGTCGGGTGTCTGTATGATATCCTTCGCGGCCGCCTCGTTGAAGAAAAAATCTTCGTTCAATACGAGGTGAGTAATCGCTGTCCTGATATCCAGAAGCTCTTTTTGGTTATAAGAGACGATGGCAGAAACATTATGTACAAAATAAATTACAAATAACGCGGAAAAACACACATAATAGTACAATTGGTTAGAGGGCTGTAAAACCCTTGACCAACTGAATCAGGTGTGCTAGTGCTGGGCTGGAACAAAACTGTGCAGTCCTGGCTGGGTGTCCATGAGGAGCGGATTAGGAAAAACTGTTTTGTATTTGGCTGTATTGACCTCTGCCCTCTCTGACACCTCTAGGTCAGACCTGGAGCTGCAGTTCAAATGTTACCACCACGAGGACCGACAGATGAACACCAACTGGCCCGCCTCCGTCCAGGTCAGCACACACACAAACACTCTCATTCATACAGATACACATTCTCATGCACACACGGACACACGTGTACACACACACACACACACACACACACACACACACACACACACACACACACAAACTGTCTTTCCTCCTTCCAGGTCAGTGTTAACGCCACGCCCCTGACCATCGAGCGGGGCGACAACAAGACGTCCCATAAACCCTTGCACCTGAAGCAAGTGTGTCAGCCCGGCAGAAACACCATCCAGATCACCGTCACCGCGTGCTGCTGTGTGAGTACATGATTCAATAGAATATGCAGAACAAATGATACAAGGGATATGTTAAATAAAATATGGCTTAATATTTTAAACCCCTTTGTAACTACCCCTGTTGCATGGCAACTTGGCAGTGGTTATTTAGTTGAATTTCTGTTATTTGGCCGGTCAACATTGCAATGCTGTGATTGGTTGAGACACCTCTGTGCTGTGATGTGTACAGAAGGTGTAGAAGCTAACACACTAAAGTAGAACTGCTGTCTGTAGAGAATCCACTCTTTATTTAGGTCTTAATGTCTTTTCTCCGTCTATGTGCAGTCGCACCTGTTTGTGCTGCAGCTGGTCCACAGGCCTTCAGTCCGCTCCGTCCTGCAAGGGCTCCTGAAGAAGAGACTCTTGCCTGCAGAACACTGCATCACCAAGAGTATGTTACCACTACTCTATTTGACTATACTACTACTACTATACTAATATAGCCTTTACCCTATCTTACAACCTTTACATCAATCTTGTGTGTAAGAATATGCCATCAGTCTCTACCTAACTCTAATCTCTCTCTCTCTTTCTCTTCCCCCCCCCCTCTCCACCCCCTCTCTCTCCTTCCATTCCCCTCCATCCCTCCCTCCCTCCAGTTAAGAGGAACTTCAGCAGCGTAGTGGCCTCGTCGGGTAACACCAGTCTAAACGGGGAGGACGGCATTGAGCAGACCGCCATCAAAGTCTCCCTCAAATGTCCAATCACCTTCAGGCGTATCCAGCTGCCCGCCAGGGGGCATGACTGCAAACACGTACAGGTAGGACGGCAGGAAGGGGTATGTTTTGAACTGTACAGTAACAGTAGGTTTGCAAAATTATACACATATGACGTATATTATAGGTTGGCAGATAGCCTAGCGGTTAAGAGCGTTGGGACAGTAACCGAAAGGTCGCTGGTTTGAATCCCCGAGCCAACTAGGTGAAAAATCTGTCGATGTGCCCTTGAGCAAGGCACTTAACCCTAATTGCTCCTGTAAGTCTCTCTGGATAAGAGCGTCTGCTAAATGACTACAATGTAAATGTAGTATATTATACAGGGCCACACGCTAGATGTCTGTATAGGGACACTAGTTTCCGCTGACTATGTGCCTAGACCAGGAAAAATGCTAGGTCCTTATAGCACAGGTTGTTCGGTGAACTACGCTAATGTGATGAGTAACCTTGCCTGAGACCTGAAGACTCATGTTAGCTCCCAGAATTAATGCTTAGGCTCAGTGGGCTAACCTGGTCTTGAGGCAATACACCTGACAGATCATACAATATTTCCCTGTTTAGGAAATACATGATTCTGATAATACATGTTTTGTCTTCCAGTGTTTTGATCTGGAGTGGTATCTGCAGCTGAACTGTGAGAGGGGGACGTGGAGGTGTCCGGTGTGCAAGTATGTGATGACCATTTCCAAACTATGTTTTGTCAATAAAGTAATGTCTCTTCTTTGAATGAGTTAAAATAATGCTCTCTCTCCCCCCTCTCCACCCCCTCTCTCTCGACCCCCCTCTCCGCCTCCTCTCTCTCGACCCCCCTCTCCGCCTCCTCTCTCTCGACCCCCCTCTCCGCCTCCTCTCTCTCGACCCCCCTCTCCGCCCCCTCTCCTCTCGACCCCCCTCTCCGCCCCCTCTCTCTCCCCCTCTCCCCCTCTCTCTCTCTCCCCCTCTCTCTCTCTCTCCCTCCCTTCTCCCTCTCTCCCCCTCTCTCCCTCCCTCTCCCCCCTCTCCCCCTCTCTCCCTCCCTCTCCCCCCTCTCTCCCTCCCTCTCCCCCTCTCTCCCTCCCTCTCTCCCTCCCCTCTCCCCCTCTCCCTCTCTCTCCCTCCCTCTCCCCCTCTCTCTCCCCCCTCTCCCCCTCTCTCTTCCCCCTCTCTCTCTCTCTCTCCCTCTCCCACAGTAAAACTGCATTGTTAGAGGGTCTAGAGGTGGACCAGTACATGTGGGGAATCCTCAACGCCATCCAGAAGTATGCTTTATTCTTCCTTATTACTAATAATAGTTATTGCTATTATTATTATTAACCTTCAGTGCTTCATGATCTTTTCCAGTATTCCCACTAGTATTTCTATAGTGTCGATGTGATATAGGACCATAAAAATTCCCTTCATCATCCTGTAGTGCTTAAATGTTAGTTTCCACTATTTCAATATTATTATTACCATACTGTCTTTGTAATTCTGGACTTTTCCACTTCCTCCTTCCTTTGTAATATGGGACTGTATAAAAATGTCCCCTTCCTCTTCCCGTAGTTCGGAGTTTGAGGAGGTGACCATTGACCCATCGTGTAGCTGGCGGCCGGTGCCCATCAAATCTGACCTCCATATTAAAGAAGACCCTGATGGACCGCTGGCCAAACGCTTCAAGACCATGAGCCCCTCCCAGATGACCATGAGCCCCTCCCAGATGACCATGCCCAACGTCATGGAGATGATCGCCCAGCTGGGCCCTGGCCCCGCCCATTACCCATCAGGCCCTGCTCAGCACGGGGGAGGCGGCGCCGGGGGCAACCCAGGGGAGTACGGTGGCCCCAGAGGCCCAGGTAAAGACCATTTTCAGAATTCAGATATTACATTTACATTTTAAATGTTGGTTATTTAGCAGACACTCTTATCCAGAGCAACTACAGTCATACTAAGGTAGGTAAGACAACTTAAGAAATCCCTCCCCTTTTTTGTGTTTTTCTGTGCTGCTAGGCAACAGTTACCACGGCCACGGGAACTTTGACTTCCCCCATGGTAACTCCTCGGGCGGGGGAGGAGGAGGTGGTGGAGGTGGACCGAGAGGAGGAGGAGGATCCCCCATGAGTGACTTTATCCACCCCCCTCAGCTGTCCCACCCCCCAGACGTCCCCGGGGGTCTCCAATCCCAGGACAAGCCCCTCAGCCACGGCATCAACGACCCCGTAAGTCCCCTACACCTCCAGAACCAACCAACAGGGCCACTCACACCAGTGTTGTTGAAAATCCTCATAGAAAAAGTAAAATACCCACATCCAAACATTTCTCAGGTGCAGGGTACAAAAAGTGTCACATGAAAGGAATAGTAATACACTGCTCAAAAAAATAAAGGGAACACTAAAATAACACATCCTAGATCTGAATGAATTAAATAATCTTATTAAATACTTTTTTTCTTTACATAGTTGAATGTGCTGACAACAAAATCACACAAAAATTATCAATGGAAATCAAATTTATCAACCCATGGAGGTCTGGATTTGGAGTCACCCTCAAAATTAAAGTGGAAAACCACACTACAGGCTGATCCAACTTTGATGTAATGTCCTTAAAACAAGTCAAAATGAGGCTCAGTAGTGTGTGTGGCCTCCACGTGCCTGTATGACCTCCCTACAACGCCTGGGCATGCTCCTGATGAGGTGGCGGATGGTCCTCCTGAGGGATCTCCTCCCAGACCTGGACTAAAGCAATCCCCGCCAACTCCTGGACAGTCCTGTGGTGCAATGTGGCGTTGGTGGATGGAGCGAGACATGATGTCCCAGATGTGCTCAATTGGATTCAGGTCTGGGGAACGGGGGCGGGCCAGTCCATAGCATCAATGCCTTCCTCTTGCAGGAACTGCTGACACACTCCAGCCACATGAGGTCTAGCATTGTCTTGCATTAGGAGGAACCCAGGGCCAACGCACCAGCATATGGTCTCACAATGGGTCTGAGGATCTCATCTCGGTACCTAATGGCAGTCAGGCTACCTCTGGCGAGCACATGGAGGGCTGTGCGGCCCCCCAAAGAAATGCCACCCCACACCATGACTGACCCACCGCCAAACCGGTCCATGCTGGAGGATGTTGCCAGGCAGCAGAACGTTCTCCCACGGCGTCTCCAGACTCTGTCACGTCTGTCACATGTGCTCAGTGTGAACCTGCTTTCATCTGTGAAGAGCACAGGGCGCCAGTGGCGAATTTGCCAATCTTGGTGTTCTCTGGCAAATGCCAAACGTCCTGCACGGTGTTGGGCCAAACGTCCTGCACAAAGGCGGAGGTAGCAGTCCTGCTGCTGGGTTGTTGCCCTCCTACGGCCTCCTCCACGTCTCCTGATGTACTGGCCTGTCTCCTGGTAGCGCCTCCATGCTCTGGACACTACGCTGACAGACACCGCAAACCTTCTTGCCACAGCTCGCATTGATGTGCCATCCTGGATGAGCTGCACTACCTGAGCCACTTGTGTGGGTTGTAGACTCCGTCACATGCTACCACTAGAGTGAAAGCACCGGCAGCATTCAAAAGTGACCAAAACATCAGCCAGGAAGCATAGGAACTGAGAAGTGGTCTGTGGTCACCACCTGCAAAACCAGTCCTTTATTGGGGGTGTCTTGCTAATTGCCTATATTTCCACCTGTTGTCTATTCCATTTGCACACAGCATGTGAAATGTATTGTCAATCAGTGTTGCTTCCTAAGTGGACCAGTTTGATTTCACAGAAGTGTGATTGACTTGGAGTTACAATTGTGTTGTTTAAGTGTTCCCTTTATTTTTTGGAGCAGTGTACTGTTGTATATAATTTCGTATAGTTTGTTGCAATGTTTGTAAGGCCTGTCACGTTAGCATTGGCATTGTGCACAGCATGTCTTGGCAGTCTTGCTCATGTTACCCTCTGCATGTCAGCTCAGAGCTTACTTTAAACCCCCAAACCCCTTTTTCCCCTTTTTCTCTTTCTCCCCTTTCCCACCCTTCCTTTCCCAAACCTTTCCCCCCCTCCCTCCCTTTTTTTCCCTCCCTCCCCCCTCCCTCCCCTTTTCCCCCCCTCCCTCCCTCCCTCCCCTCTCCCTTTTCCCCCCTCCTCCTTCCTTCCCCCCCCCTTTTTTCCCCCCTCCCCCCTCTCCCCTTTTTCCCCCCTCCCTTCCCCTTTTTCCCCTTTTCCCTCCTCCCCCCCCCCCTTCCTTCCTTCCTTCCTTCCTTCCCTTTCCTTTCCCTTTCCCTTCCCTTTCCCTTTCCCTTTCCCTTTCCCCCCCTCCCCTCCCTCCCTCCCCTCCCTCCCCCCTTCCTTCCCCCCCCTTTTCCCCCCCTCCCCCCTTCCCTTTTTCCCCTCCCTCCCTCCCCCCTCCCCCCCCCCCTCCCTCCCCTTCTCCCTTTCCCCCCCTCCCTTTCTCCCCCTCCCTCCCTCCCCTTTCCCCCCCTTTTTTCCCTTTCCCTTTCCCTCCCCCCCGCCCTTTCCTTTTCCCCCTTCCCTCCCTCCCTCCCTCCCCCCTCCCTTTTTCCCCTTCCCCTGCCCTCCCTCCCTTTTCTCCCCCTTTTTTTCTTTTTCCCCCCTCCCTCTCCCCCCCCCCTCCTCTCTTTTCTCCCTCCCTTTCTCCCCCCCCTCCCTCCCTCCCTCCCTTTCCCCCCTTTCCCCCCCTCCCTTTCCCCCTCCCCCCCCCTTTCTCCCTCCCCCCCAAACCCCCCCCTTCCCCCCCCTCCCTCCCTTTCTTCCCCCCCCCCTCCCTTTTTCCCCCCCTTGCCCCCCCTTTTCTCCCTCCCTCCCTTTCCCCCTTTCCCCCCCTTCCCCCTTTTTTTTCCCCCCCCTCCCCCCCCCTCCCTCCCTCCCTTTTCCCTCCCTTTTGCCCCCCTCCCCCCTTTCCCCCCCTCCCTCCCTCCCCCCCTCCCCTCCCTCCCTTCCCCCCCCTCCCCCCCTTTTTTATTTTCCCCCCCTTTCTAAAGTTCCCCCCTCCCTCCCCTTTCCTTCCCCCCCCTCCCGTTTTTCCCCCCCCCTCCCTCCCCTCCCTCCCTCCCCTCCCTCCCCCCCTTTCTTTCCCTTCCCCTCCCTCCCCTCCCTCCTCCCTTCCCTTGGCCTTTTTCCCCCCCTCCCCCCCCTCCCCCCTTTTTCCCTCCCTCCCTCCCTTTCCCTCCCCCCCCTCCCTCCCCTTTCCCCCCTTTTCCGCCCCTTTCCCCCCTCCCCTCCCTTTTTTCCCTCCCTTTTTTTCCCCCCCCTCCCCCTTTTCCCTTTTTTTCCCCCTCCCTTTCCCTTTCCCGGGGGTACCCCGTCCCCCCTCCCTTTCCCTCCCCTCCCTCCCCCCCCTTTCTTCCCCCCCTCCCCTCCCTCCCGGGGGTTTTTTTTCTTTTCTCCCCCCCCCCCCCCCTTTCTTCCCCCTCCCTCCTCCCTCCCTCCCGTCCCTTTCTTTCCCCTCCCCCCCCCCCCCCTTTCCCCCGGCTCCCCCTTTCCCTCCCTCCCTCCCGGTTTTCTTCCCTTTTTCGCTCCCCCCTCCCTTTCCCCTTTTTTCCCCCCTCCCTCCCTGGGCCCCCTTTTCTCTCCCCCCCCTTCCCTCCCGTCCCTTTGCTCCCTCCCCCCCTCCCTTTTTCCCCTTTCCTCCCTCCCCCCCGGTCCCCCCCCTCCCTTTCTCGCCCCCCCCCTCCCCCCCCCCTTTCCCCCTCCCCTCCCCCCCTTTTTCCCTCCCTCCCCTCAATCGGGCCCCCCCATCCCTCCCTCCCTTTCCCCCCCTTCCCCCCCTTTCTTTCCCTTTTCTTTCCCCCCCCTTCCCTTTTTCCTTTCCCCCCTTTCCCCTTTTCCCCTCCCTCCTTTTTCCCCTCCCTCCTCCCCCCCCTTTCCCCCCCCCTCCCTCCCTTCCCCCCCCTCCCCCCCTTTCCCCCCCCCCCCCTTTCCCCACCCCCCCTTTTTCCCCCCCCCCCGTTTTTCCCCCCCCCCCGCTCCCCCCCCCCCTTTCTCCCTCCCCTCCCCTCCCCCCCTCCTCCCTTTTGCCTCCCCCCTTTCCCCCCCCTCCCCTCCCTTTCTCCCTCCCTCCCCCCCCTTCCTCCCTCCTCCCTCCTCCCTCCCTTCCCCCCCCTCCCTCCCCTTCTCCCTCCCTCCCTCCCTCTCCCTCCCCCCCTCCCCGTTCCCTCCCCTCCCTCCCTTTTCCTCCCCCCCCTCCTTTGTCCTCCCTCCCCCTCCTCCCCCTCTTCCCCCCTCCCGTTCCCCCCCCTCCCCCTCCTTCCCCCTCCCTCCCTCCCCCCCCTCCCTCCCTCCCCCCTCCCCCCCCTTTCCCCCCCTCCCTCCCTTTTCCCCCCCTCCCTCTCTTCTCCCCCCCTCCCTCCCTTCTTTGCCTCCCTCCCCCCCTCCCTCCCTCTCCCCCCTCCTCTTTCCCTCATCCCTTTCCTCCCTCCCTCCCCCCCCTCCCTTCCCCTCCCTCCCCTTTCCTCCGGCCCCCCCCTGGGCCCCTCTCTCCCTCCCTTCCCTCCCTCTCTCTCTTTTCCCCCCCTCCCCCCCCCCTCCCCCCCCCTCCTCCCTCCCCCCCCCCCCCTCCCTCCCTCCCTTCCCTTCCCTTCCCTCCCTCCCCCTCCCCCTCCCTCCCCTTCCCTCCCCCCCTCCCGCTTCGCCCCCCGTCCCTCCCCTCCCTTTCCCTCCCTTCCCCCCCCGTCCCCCCGCCTCCCTCCCTCCCCCCCCTGCCCTCCCTTTCCCCCCCGTCCCTTCCCTCCCCCTCCCTTCCCTCCCTCCCTCCCCCTTTCCCCCCTCCTTCCCCCTTCCCCCCCTCTCTCCCCTCTCCCCCCCCCCGGGCCCCCCCTCTCCCCCCCCTCCCTTTTCCCTCTTCGGGGCTCCCTCCCTCCCCTTCCTCCCTTTCCCCTCTCTCTTCCCTTTCCCCCCCTAACCCTTCCCCCCCCTACCCTCTCCTCCCGGGGTTTTTTCAAGGGCCCCCCTCCCCTTTTCCCTCCCTCCCCCATCCCTCCTCCCCCTCCCCCTTCCCCCCCTCTCCCTTTTTCCCCCCCTCCCCCGCCTCTCCTTCCCCCCCAAAACCCTTTTTCCCTCCCCCTCCCCTCCAAAAGTCCCTCCCTTTTTTCCCCTTCCCCCTTTTTGCCAAGGCCCCCCCCTGTCCCCCCCCCTCCCTCCCCCCCCTCCCCCCCTTCCCCTCCCCTTCCCCCCCCCTCCCCTCCGGGCCCCCAACCCCCCCGCCCGGCCCGCCCCCCACCCATCCCTTTCCCCCCTCCCTCCCTCAATCCCATTACGGGGGGCCCTCTACCCCCCCAATTCCCCGTGTCTCTTGGGGTTCCTCGGTTCGGGTTTTCTCGTTTCTCGCTCAAGTTTCTCTGGGTTTTCTTCCCTTTTCCCTTTCCCCCCCCTTCCCTTTTCAATTTCCCGTCCCTTCCCTTCCCCCTTCCCAACCTTTTAAAAAAAAGTTCCGTGGGGCCCTCCAACCCTTCCCAAGGTTTTCCTTGCAAAATTTTTCTATTCCCCCTGGGTTTTGGAAAAATTCCCCCCTCGGGTTTCAAAAACCCCTTGGTTTCCTTTTGGGGGGGTGGTTTTAATGCCCTTCGAAATTTTTTTTCTTAATATTTCCTCCCCCCTTTTTCCTCTTTCTGGGGGGGTTCTTCCCCATCCCCCCCCCCCCCCCCCCTCTCTCTCCCCTTTTCTTCATCTCCCTTTCTCTCTCCTCCCCTCTCTCTCCCCTCTTGTCTCCATCTTTCCACCCCCTCACCCCAAAATAAAATTCCCAAACCCCATGGCCCAAAAAAAAAGAGCCTTTCCCAACCCTTCCTCCTCCCCCCCAACCCCCCCCCGTTTTCCCTCCTCCGGGGGGCCTTTACTCGTTTCCCCACCCCCCCCCTTTCCCCGCCCTTTCCGCAGGGCCCCCCTTTCCCCCGCACCCCGCCCAGAACGCCAAACCCCCCCTTTGGGGTCCTGCCCTTTAAAAACCCCCCCTCCCGGGGGCGAAGGTCCCCTTTTCTCCCCCCCTCCTAGAAATTTTGTGCCCCCCCCCTTGTGAACCCCTCCCTCCCAAAACAACAAAAAAAAAACAGGGGGGTTTTCCCAACCGCTGGAAACTCTCCTGGGTTTGTGCCCCCATAAAGGTATCCCCCGGGAGGTCCCTACCCAACCAACCCAAAAACCCCACCTAACTTTTAAACCTAACCCTTTTTCCCCAAGGGGCCCCACCCCTTTAAAAATAATTTTTTGGGGAAATTCGTCAGATTTTTGGAGTCCCAAAGGACCCGGGTGCAAAACCTCCTTCCCCTCATTCCCCAATCTTTGTGGGAAAAAAAAACTCTCACCTTCTTTGCCCTTTTTGGAAAATGACTCTTTGGTGAAGTTTAAGGGAATTATACCTTTTATTTTTTAATTCTTCCCTTATTCTTTATCCCCCCTTTACTTTTTTTCCTCCTTTTTCTCGGGCCCCATCCTCCCCGTGTAAAAAACACTTCTTTCCTTCCTTTTAAATTCCCTTTTTTTTTTTTCCCCCCCTTTTTTTTCCCGCCCTCCCCCTCCCAAAACCTTTCCCCTGCCCTTTCCCCATTGTTTCCCCCTTTCCCCCCCCCCTTTCCCCCTTTTGTGTTTTTCCCCGGGCCCTTTCTCTCACAGTGCCTTTCCCCAATCTGGCCAACCCAGAGGGCCCCCCACACCCTCCGATCCCCCCAAACGGCCCAATTTATGAGGGTCCTCCCCTCCCCCCCCCCTTCGAAAAAAACAATTTAAACCTTTCTTTTCGCCCCCCTCCAATTTTCAACCCTTCCCGGGGACCCCAAAACCCTTCCAAAAGGGGGAACAAAAACAACAAACCCCAAGGGTTGGTAAGTTGTTTTTGTTTGTCGTGGCCCCTTTTGGCTGGGAATGAAAAAAAAGGAGTAAAAAAAAAAAAAACCGTCTTTTTTTTTGAAAGGCAAGAGTGTTTAAAAGGGGCCCTAAAGGGGCCCCAATTTTTTCCCCGAGGGCTTTTCCCCCGTTCAGCCTTAATTGTTGAAATTTAAAAGTTTGGTGTTTGGAAATGGCAATGTTTCCAAGGGCAGAATTGCCAACCCTTCCTTTTCATTTTTTTAACCATCTTCCTTTTTAAAAATTTTTTAATTTCCATTTTTTTCCCCCGAAAATTAGGTAATTGGTTGTTTGGCCCTTTTTTTATTTTCTGTTTTTTTAACTTTTAAAATGTTCAGGAAAATGGCAATGGTTTTAATGACCCAAAGGTTTTTACAGTTTTTTAAGGATTGGCCCCTTTAAACCCCAAAAAAAAATTTAAAAAAATCCCCTAATGGAACCCTTTTCCCAGGGGGGGGGGGGAACCCCGAAAGTACCCCCGAAAAAAAAAAAAAAAAAAAAAAAAAAAAAAAAAAAAAAAAAAAAAAATTTTTTTTTTTTTTTTTTTTTTTTTTTTTTTTTTTTTTTTTTTTTTTGTTGGGTTGCCAAAAACCCTTTTTTTTTCCAATTTTCCCCTTTGGGGTGTCCCCTTTTTTAACCGTTCAACCCCCCGGTTTTTTTTTTTAAATTTTTTCTTTTTGTTTCAATTGGGGAAAATTTTTTTAAAAGTTTTTTTTTTTTTAAAAAACCAAAACAAAATTTTAAAGTTCTCCTCATCATCACCCTTGTCCTCTCGTCTTCCCCTAGATCTCATCCTTCCACCACTGATCAGCACCATAATTCCATGCAACAGCAGAGCTTGCACGTGCCTCCTCACCCCAACAGCCAGTCGTTACATCACGGTGGCAGCCAATCAGGGCAGTCGTTACATCACGGCAGCCAATCGTTGCAGCCCCCTCGCCAGCAGGCCCCGACTCCCCAGCAGCAGCAAGGCCAGAACAGCCACCCGCACGGCGATCTGAACTTTAACCCCTCTTCCTCGGGCATCGAAGGTCAAATTAGTGGTGACATGCCTGAGCCCTCCCTAGATGTAAGTGTGACATCATTGTGACATCGTGCTTACGGATGCAAACATAATTTAACTAGCGTTAGCATCGTCTGCTAAAGCTTATCTCATGGTTAGTGCTATCCGGTATCCTTGGGACGTCCCTACCCTAAATCCTAACCTTAACCCCTACCCTAACCCTTACCTAACCTTAACCCTTAACCATTTTAAATGTTAACTTCAGTGGGGTAACGTCAGAGCTGGGACGTCCCAAGGATTCCGGATAGCAAGGACCCTTCTCTCATTGCCTAGCTGTGGTTTGATGGAAAAAGTAAACTACTACAGTATGCTAATACCTTTAGTTGTTTAAATAGACTCTTTGGATAGAAGTAAGAAGTCTAATGACAATGCGAATCTCTTCCCTTATATCTTTATCCCCCTCTCTATCTCTCTCTCTCTCTCTCTCTCTCGCTCCATCTCTCTCTCGCTAACTCTCACTCTCTTTCTCTCTCACTCTCTCTGTCTCTCTCTCTCCCACCTTCTCTCTCTCTCTCTCTCTCTCCCACCTTCTCTCTCTCTCTCTCACTCTGTCTCTCTCTCCCCCCCCCCCACTTTCCCTCTCTTCCTGCCTGCCTCCCTCCCTCTCTCTACAGCTGCTTCCAGAGCTGGCCAACCCAGATGAGCTCCTGTCCTATCTGGACCCTCCGGACCTCCCCTCCAACAGCAATGATGACCTCCTCTCCCTCTTCGAGAACAATTAACCTTTCGCCTTCCTCACCCTTCGAGCCGAACCCAAACCTCCTCCACAGACACACACACACACACCACAGGGTGTGTCCAACCAGCTGGACTCTCCATAGAGTCCATAGTCGTCCTCATATGGACTGGTAGTGGAGACATCGTCAGGTCACACACACACACAAACACAAACACACACACGTACTGTTTTGTGAAAGGTGTCATAGACGTGTAGGTGGCATAGGAGCAACGCTGAGGTCATCTGTCAGAACATAAGTTGATGATGAAGATGACAGTCTAGATGTCATGGAGTGGACACTGTGACAGAGACAGAATGCACTCATGACCTCACTTCCTCTTCCTCACACACACTCTTCCTCGTGTAAAGACTCTTCACACTCCTCTGCTGCGGAGCTCCTCCAGCCGACAACATCGACGGTCATGTCGGCTGTCTAGCCCTTAAGTGATATTATATCTCTTGACTTTTCGAACTTAAACTGTGCAGCTAATAATCATGTTCTATGTGTATGACCTCACACAGGGAAAAGTGTTGTAGCAGTTTTTTATCGTCCTTATTCCGCCCTTATACAAAAAAAAATAAAAAAATACATGAATAGGAAAGAAAAGTCATCTTCTTGTCCTAGCCAGTGTTTATATCTATCCTCTTTTGATGTGTGTTCTTCCAAGCCCTGACCCCCTGACCACAACCTTTAACCCCTGACCTTTGACCTACAGTGTGTTCTTATAACCTCTGACCTTTAGCTCATAGTGTGTATTTCCAACGGGACGTCAGTCAGTCAGCACTGGGTCCGTTCCATCCAGACTAACTGAAGCACAACCGACAGAGGGCCACACCACACCACATGGCAGGCAGAGTACTGAGAGGAGAGGCCAAGGCCTGTGGATGAGGATCCTAACCTGGCTAGCTAGCCCAGTCTACAGAAGAATCAGCACTGTTAACTATATTCTGTCTGTCTATCGCCCCCCTCCAATGTTGTTCAAGTTTCTCTTCCCTGATGTTACAGTACAATGCCATGTCAGACAGTGGGCTATACAAAAATCAGTTTTACAAATACATTTGATTTGGGTTAGAATGATGGAGAATTGTGTGTGTGTGTGTGTGCGTGTGCGTGTGCGTGTAAGAGAAAGAGTGAGGATGAGAGTGATAGAAAAAGAGAAGTAAAGAGTCCGTCCATATTTAGTCTATCATAGCAAGACACAGCTAGTGTTGCAGAAGATAGTCGGCCATTGTAATAGAGCCAGATCCCTCTTTACCGTGAGTCTTCCTCTGTTCTACAGTTCTGCAATTGCTCCTGTAACCATACTGTTTGGTGTTAAGAAGTGCATGTGTGCCAATGGTCTCTGTTCTAGATTAGCCGGAAACATTCTTGTCATTTAGATTTTATAGCCATTGCATTTTTTTATCATTATTTTATTTAACATTTTCTTGCAAAGGAATGATTTAGGTTAATGGTAATGTATTGGCCAGCTTTTTTATTTTTCATGTTTGTTTCACTTTGACTGTTCATTGGAAAATGGCATGCGTGATGCATCACCAAAGTTATCCCACAGTTTGTATAAGGAGTTGGCTTGGACATCTACTATAATGTAAGAATAATACCCATGAATGCTGTAACCATACTCCTAGGGAACCAACCGAAAAGTATTCTGAACAGATGTGTGGTTGCACTGCATTTCCTGTGTCTTGTTACTGTTCAACTGTATTTTGTATACTTTTGTTCAATGAACAGTCAAAGTGAAACAAACATGAAAAATAAAAAAACCCACAATGGTTTATAAAGACAATTTAAAATGGTTGTCATCCTGACAATGTATGCTTTATAAATGTTTGCTAATGTATTGGGGAAAAGTGGAGGAAAGTGACTTTACCCTCTATCATTTTTGATTAAGTCAAGTCTAAATTGTAATACCTTCTGGAATTGAATGGAAGTAATTTTTTATTTTTGTGAACCCTCTTTTGTACAACACAAGATCATCATGTGTATTATTCTATCCTCATAGCATTTTTGATATTGTTCTCCTATTTTAAGTTATTATTTTCTGTATCTATTCAGTGACTGTGAGAATAATCATAATTTGGTTTACTTCAGATCATGTAGGCTACTAAATGAAATTGAAGATTTCTCAATCGGTGGATATTTTTAGGATTTAGGAATGATCCCAAACGCTGGTTGAATCACCTGAACACAACTGACCCTATGATATTTTAGTCTGTCTGTCTGTCTGTGTCTATGTCTATTTGTTGAAGATAATGCACTGCCACAGTGAGGTATTTTGACTCCCCTGCCCTGTTTATCTGTAGATCTGTGTAGACATAATGCTGAAGTCTGGTCTATCAACATTACTCTCTATACTCCACATAGAGGTTTGAGCCTTGTCTGAGGTTCAGGCTCCACACCAAACTGTAGATGTACAGTCAATGGACACAAGTGGAGTGTGTTAGTTAGAGGGTGCAATGTATTTTCATTTAAAGAAAATGGGAGATGTGATCCCCGGCCCTCTATTCTGTCACTAAAATGCAAGAATAGGGGCTGGAGGGTCTCTAAAGGATGCATGTACATAGTGTAAATGACAGATAGAGACACATTAACTTACAGAAATGTAGACATTTTCCCCACACAGGGGGCAATGATGCGCATTGTGTATTTAGAATTTGTAAAGTTTGCATCCTCCTGTCAGAAGAGACTGTTGAATTGTGGGAAAGGGAGTCTGTGTTTGATAGTCTGTACAGCCCTCTCTCTCCAACCACGTGTTCATTCATGTAAGATACTTTATCTACTTCTCAAACTTGGGGGTGTTGGAAAAGGAAAAAAAGAAACCTTTGTTTCCCTTTGTGTAAAATTCAACTTCTGTGTATTTCTCTATTACTTGTGTACTTTATAAAGGTGCTACAACAACATAATAAAGATCATTTTGAGGAATAAATCGGGACGTGGGAACCGTGAGTGGTTCCTAAAGATTGTTGATACCAAATTGACAGTTTGTAAAATTGTGGCAAATTTACAGTTTTTACACAATTTGGCAAAAAATATTACTTCCAAGGTACAATCTGAAGTGATTGGCACACCAAGTGGCAGTTGTCTTTTTTGTTTTGTACATTCTGTGTACAGTCATTTCATATTCTAAACTGGTCAGAAAAAAATGAATTGTGATTTTTAGTCTTGCAAAACTGTATGTAGTTAGATGACGTGACATCCTAATATTTATCTAATAAATATGTATTCAGATGAAACTCATGGTCTTGGTTTTCTAATACATCTTAAGTTCTATGCCCTGTTTTAAGAAGGTCATACCATGGATCATTTTGCTATTTGATTTTTCATTTTAAGACCCCTTGAAGTATCAAACAAATATATAAAATTTTTATTTAATTAAACATTTTATTTGGCCTTACTGTTATTAGCCCATACAAACGCATTGAACAACAGATCCACTACATGGAACAACAAGAGTCATCTTTCCATAATAGTTTGAAGGCAAAACCGTTCGAACACTACAGACGATTTTGTGAGAAGACCGATTTTCGTGATGTCTCATGGTCTGACAAACCTCTAGCTCTGTCACACTTTTACAGCAGATGCGGAAGTGCGACATCGGCGGATGTGAGTGATTGAGACGCATCCAATGCAAAAACAGACATGTCTAGTTTAAACTGATGAATTTTGATGAGGATTGTTATATTATGCAAATTACATTCCTAAGCGGCGCGGACATCGACTCTAGGGAGTTTTAAGTTATATATTGGGGCTGTGATGGGGAGCGGAATAAGACATTCTGACAGTTACAATGAAAATACTATTGAATATTGTAGACACAGATGTATTAATAATGTTCATGGACTAGCTATCTGTTTATGTGCACAACCTCATCATTCTGTGTCGCTGTTGGGGTCTTAGTGACGTCATGTGTACACACATACCCCCATCCTCAGAACTTCATGTTGACAACTATGCAAAGATGTTGCAAATGAAAAATCGTATAAAATATTGCTCTTTGGCGATTGCTGCGACCAGGTTGTTTTCGTCTGGACCAGTCAAGAACCCAGTCGTGTATTTTGACATCGCAGCTGACAACGAACCTCTGGGACGAATCATCATAGAGGTACCTAGCTAACTAACGTAGCTAGCTTAGATGCGGACCCGTAGCAATCTAAATCTGCCATTAGCTAGCAGTAAACAGTAAAAAGGCAGATACACATAGCTACATAGAATAACTCTAGTTGACGGTTCATTTTACGGCATGTTCAGCTGAGCTTGCTTCGCTAGTTAAAATAGTTAGCTAGCTAGATAGCTAGCCATGCTTAGTTGTTGAAGTAGCTAAGTCTCAGCTGGCTAGCCCATTCATTTGCAGTTTGTTTCAGCTACAGTCACACCCCATCTTTCTGCTCAAAGGTTAATGAGCTGATTGGGTTGTTGATAAGATTGCTAGCTATGCTTGCTAAATGGCTAGTGTGTTCAACCAAGCATGTTCATGTAGAGAAAAGGGCTACACTATCCAGCTAGTTTACTAGCAATAAAGGCTATTATCTAACTAGCTAGCTAGCTGGCTATCAATACGATGTTTAGCCATAGATAACGACAGACTAGAAATAATCACGGGGAACCAATCAATATCAATACATTAAACCTGCTTATCTACCTAACTAACGTTACCTGACATTGTCTTTATTTACATTTTATTACAGTTGAATGCAGCTGCTGTGCCCAAAACAGCAGGTAAACATTGATTTGTGTTCTATAGAAATAGCCACTCAGTGAGATTGACCTGGGCAATGACAAATAAAATACTGCTCTATATAGCCTTACATTGTGTTTTACTTAGTAGTGAATTCATGTTGTTGTTGTTTTCTGACAGAGAACTTTAGAGCACTGTGCACTGGGGAACATGGCTTTGGATACAAAGGATCAGTGTTCCACAGAGTGATTCCTGAGTTCATGTGTCAGGTACTGTAGCCGTGCTTACCTTATCATAGAGCAGGATTTCCCAAACTCGGTCCTGGGGTCTTCCAAGGGTGCACGTGTTGGTTTTTGCCCAAGCACTACTCACTCAGCTGATTCAAATAATCAAAGCTTGATGATGAGTTGATTATTTGAATCAGCTGTGTAGTGCTAGGGCAAAAACCAAAACATGCACCCATGGGAGGCTGACTTTGGAAAACCTTGTCATAGAGAAACCTCTATTTCTATGTAAACAGTGTTTGGCCATGTATCTGTGTTATATCAGTGTAACAACCTGTACAGTATTCTGTATATGCTACTATCTTCCTAATATGTAACTCTACTGTAAGACTAACATTAGGAAGGACATGCAGTTATGGAAAACAATAGGCTATCACTTTGACACTCAGTGTTCTGCAACGATTGAAATATTTTGGTCCCACATTGAAATTGAATTTATCACTACTGTAGCGACCTTATTTTATAAGCTCTGATATCAACTCTGCCACTGCAGCATGCTTTTGTGGCACAGGCTATGGCGCACAGGACTACGGGCCAGAAGGTTGAGGGTTTGCCGACCACTCCAGACAAGCTCACTCTCCCTGCCTGTTTCATTACACTGGTGTCAGATGTGATCGGACCTTGCGCCACAGATGTGCTTGGCCGATGAGCGCGTTCCTGTAAGGTGTCGTCCTCTTAAGGCTATCCCGAGGACGTGCTCTTTGAAAGGAGAGAGCAGTGTAGTGACCCTGTGTTTATAAGCGCGGACATCAACTCTGCCACTGCAGCATGCTTTTGTGGCACAGGCGATGGTGCACAGGGCTACGGGCCAGAAGGTGGAGTGTTTACCGACCACTGCGTACAAGCTCACTCTCCCTGCCTGTTTCATTACACTACTATAAGTGGACAGCCCTTATGAAGGTTGTATTTATGAACTACAATGTTCTGTGGTGGTGTTGTCTTAAAGTAAGAGCACTAACTCACTCTCTGCCCTCAGGGAGGAGATTTCACGCATCACAACGGGACTGGAGGGAAGTCCATATATGGGTCCAAGTTCAAAGACGAGAACTTCAAACTGAAACACACTGGGCCAGGTATGTTAGATCACTAAACCAGCAAACTCCTCTGTCCGTCTGACCTCTGGTCCCTTATTCACACTTTAGGGCCAAACTGAGCTGAACTGTACTGGGCTGGCCTGGTTATGCATCCACCATTGTTGTTGGAACCATGCTGGAAAACATTAGGGGGAAAAATGTAATAGAAGCCAGTACACTATGGTTAGTCGACCCTAGTGTGTAAAACAGGCGTTGAAGAGTTGTTGTAGGGTCTCCACTCCCCTAGATGGCGCTATTGACTACACAGACAGGTTATTTCAATAAGGTACAAATGACCTACTTTCCAAGCAAGTCAACATCCCATTTATCATCCGATTTTTTTAAACTAAACCTTAATCCCATGTTGATAGATGGACACTTCTTCAGCTCAGGGTATGTTCTCTTGCATAATGACAACCTGGCTCCAGTTAAACTGGGGGTAATAGACCTTTACCCAATACAGATGTCTTCTGTCTGCTGCTCTATGCCCTCCTACAGCCAGGTACCCCACAGTGTTCCTATCTATTTATTTTCTAGTCATTCTGTTAGAGGACTTGATCCACAGAAACAACGTTTGGAGAAATGGAAGCCTTGATAAGTCATAATGTATAAATGCAACATGTAAAGTGTTTGTCCTATGTTTCATGAGCTGAAATAATGAATCCCAGATATTTTCCATATGCACTAAAAGCTTATTTCTCTCAAATGTTGTGCACAAATGTGTTTATATCCCTGTTAGTGAGAATTTCTCCTTTGCCAAGATAATCCATCCACCTGACAGGTGTGGCATATCAAGAAGCTGATTAAACAGCATGATATTTACACAGGTGCACCTTGTGCTGGGGAAAATAAAAGGCCAATATAAAATGTGCAGTTTTGTCACACAACACAATGCCACAAATGTCTCAAGTTTTGAGGGAGCGTGCAATTGGCACGCTGACTGCAGGAATGTCCACCAGAGCTGCTGCCAGGGAATTTAATGTTAATTTCTCTACCATAAGCTGCCTCAAACGTCGTTTTCGAGAATTTGGCAGCACGTCCAACCAGCCTCACAACCGCAGACCATGTGTAACCACGCCAACCCAGGACCTCCACATCCGGCTTCTTCACCTGTGGGAAGGGAGTGCTGAGGAGTATTTCTGTCTGTAATAGAGCCCTTTTGTGGGGAAAAACTCATTCTGATTGGCTGGGCCTGGCTCCCCAGTGGGTGGGCCTGGCTCCCAAATGGGTGGGTCTATGCCCTCCCAGGTCCACCCATGGCAGCGCCCCTGCCCAGTCGTGAAATCCATAGATTAGGGCCTAATGAATTTATTTCAATTGACTGATTTCCTTATATGAACTGTAACTCAGTCAAATCTTTGAAATTGTTGCTTGTTGCATTAATATTTTTGTTCAGTATACAATTGACAATGTACATGAATGAACTGGTACTATACTGCAAGCTCTGGTGTTTCTATTGTTTTAGGTATCTTATCCATGGCAAATTCAGGGGCAAACACGAACGGTTCTCAGTTCTTCATCTGCACAGTTAAAACTGAATGGTAGGTTATGTTTTAGACACCAGTTAGTCACACAGTTGTGTTTTAGAATCATTTACATTTTGGTCCGCTTTACTGGTAACTGCACCTCTCTCTCTCTCTCTCTCTCTCTCTCTCTCTCTCTCTCTCTCTCTCTCGCACTCTCTCTCTCTCTCTCTGTCTCTCTCTCTCTCTCTCTCTCTGTCTCTCTCTCGCTCTCTCTCTCGCACTCTCTCTCCCTCAGGTTGAATGATAAACACGTGGTCTTTGGTCAGGTGAAGGATGGCATGGACGTAGTCTTCAAGATGGAATCCTTTGGTTGTCATGACGGTGGTGTGGTAAAGAAAATCGCCATCACGGACTGTGGGGAGATCAAGTAAAACACACGCAGACACACAGGTTGGAGAATGTCGCTATGGATAGAGACTGTTGGAAACGTCCGATTTTATTTGTTTATTTTAGCTCTTCTGTTTTCCTCACCCAATTAAAGAATGACAACCACAAATACACCAGCTGTCTCTCATACATGTAGTCTCATTGTCTTTGGACAATGTGTTCTCCCCTCACACACACACTTCCTTTATAGCATTTATACTGTCTGTAGAGTGATCTGTACGAACTCTCATGACAACTTCTCATGTTCATAGCCTGTGCTTTATACGTTCAAGAGTTGTTGTATGGTAGAGGTTTGGACTTTGGACTAGCTCAACACTGGTACTAAGATACCTCTAAAATGGGTGCTTTTGATCCTAGATGTCACTGTAATATTTTTGTAAAGAAAATAATCTATAAACTATTTATGGCGTGTATGATGGACCTGACACCTTTAGAATGTATAAAATAATGTTGTACATTTACTGCCAAATAAATCTATGTTTTTAGATTTTACTCTGTTGCTCAGTTTCATAGCGTCCTCCGTGATGCCATCACTATTTATTCCTGCCTTTAAGACTTCCTGGTACGGATTCAATGTATTTTTTTAGACAGCCAGACCTCAACACAACTTCCTGTCCTTCAGAGCAGGATGTGACATCATACCTTTGGCTTCTATTTGTCCATGAATCCCCCCTATACTGGAATATCAGCTGGTTCATCTCACTTGGCTAGGAACAAAGCTGTAAAGGTAAATTTACTAGAAGTAAGGTACACTTACTGGAATTGAGAGCTAAGATTTCTACAGTAGAAGTGCATTGACTATTTGTGCTTTGGCTGCAGAATTTAAGTCAACCGTATTAGTATACAGAAATCCAGTCAGTGAAGAATGCTACAATAACTAGTAGTGAATGAGCTATTAAGGTGTTCAGAATACAGATGCAACCTTTTATAAACTTTGTGTGGTGTCAAATATTTTCTCAACTAGTGGTGTAAAGTAACGTAAAGTACGACTTAAGTAGTTTATTTGGGTATCTGTACTTTACGATTTATATTTTGGACAACTTTTACTTTTATTCCACTACATTCCTAAAGGAAATAATGTACTTTTTACTCCCATACATTTTCCCTGATGGCAAAAGTACTTGTTACATTTCGAATGCTCAGGCAGGACAGCCATATGGTCCAATTCAAGCACCTGTCAATATAACGTGTTGGCATCCCTACTGCCTCTGATCTGGCGGGCTCACTAAACACACATACTGTATTTGTAAATGTCTGAGTGTGCCCCTGACTGTCCCTAAATTTAAAAAAACAGGAAATTCATGCCATCTGGTTTGCTTTATATAAGAAATTTGATGAATGACAATTGAGTACTTTTTCCACCACTACATTAAGCACATTTAAAACCAGATGCTTTTAGACTTTTACTCAAGTAGTATTTGACTGGGTGACTTTCACTAATACTTGAGTCATTTTCTATTAAGGTGTCTTTACATTTACTAAAGTATTACAATAGAGTACTTTTTCCACCACTGCCCAAAACCACATTTAGTTTTATGCACACCACCAACTTTCTTTTGTGTGGGTTCATACTATGGAAATAGGATGTCATCTTTCTATTTCTATTATTCTAGTTACTATATTTCTATGATTCTAGTTACTATATTTCTATGATTCTAGTTACTATATTTCTATGATTGTAGTTACTATATTTCTATGGTTCTAGTTACTATATTTCTATGATTCTAGTTACTATATTTCTATGATTCTAGTTACTATATTTATATGATTGTAGTTACTATATTTCTATGATTCTAGTTACTATATTTCTATGATTCTAGTTACTATATTTCTATGATTGTAGTTACTATATTTCTATGGTTCTAGTTACTATATTTCTATGATTCTAGTTACTATATTTCTATGATTCTAGTTACTATATTTATATGATTGTAGTTACTATATTTCTATGATTCTAGTTACTATATTTCTATGATTGTAGTTACTATATTTCTATGGTTCTAGTTACTATATTTCTATGGTTCTAGTTACTATATTTCTATGGTTCTAGTTACTATATTTCTATGATTGTAGTTACTATATTTCTATGATTCTAGTTACTATATTTCTATGATTCTAGTTACTATATTTCTATGATTGTAGTTACTATATTTCTATGATTGTAGTTACTATATTTCTATGATTCTAGTTACTATATTTCTATGATTCTAGTTACTATATTTGTATGATTCTAGTTACTATATTTCTATGATTCTAGTTACTATATTTCTATGATTCTAGTTACTATATTTCTATGATTCTAGTTACTTTATTTCTATGATTCTAGTTACTTTATTTCTATGATTCTAGTTACTATATTTCTATGATTCTAGTTACTTTATTTCTATGATTCTAGTTACTATATTTCTATGATTCTAGTTACTATATTTCTATGGTTCTAGTTACTATATTTCTATGATTCTAGTTACTATATTTCTATGATTCTAGTTACTATATTTCTATAATTCTAGTTACTATATTTTTATGATTCTAGTTACTATATATCTATGATTCTATTTACTATATTTCTATGGTTCGGTTCTTCCCGCTATTGTAGAGCTGTTGTTTTTATTGTAAGCAGAACACGTCTCCCCTGGTGAAATGCAGTGAGAGTGGCCAGAGCAGAGCCTGAAAAACCAGAAACGATGTGTCTGGGTGGTGATGGAGCTTATTAAGCTAATACTTTATGAAAGTAAATAATGAACCGAATGTGAAAAAACTCCCCTGGCTCTTAAACAAAACCATATGCGCTCTGACCTTCCAACCATTTGTTTGAATTCTCCAATTACATTGTTGCCATAGAGACACTTTAGCCCCGGTTCTGTGTTTGAGATAGGGATGTTGTAACAAACTAGATATAATTTGGGTCCCCACCCTCTTGTGAAGTTTTAGCTATTTGGAATGTGTGTCCAAGCCTGTGCATGGAAACTTGACTTTGCAGACTATGTCCAGTGCTACCCTACTCATATACTCATGCGAAACAATAACATGTTTACAATCATTAAAAGCAATGAAGTTCTTCTTGTCACACACAAGTCTCCAACATAAACCCAAATGCAGGGGTGCAATTTTGGTTTAGAGGTAAGGGGGCCATTATTATTATTATTACTATTATTATTATTACTATTACCATTATTATTATTATCATTTTAACCAGTCAGATAAACACTCCAAACAGCCTATCCAACTGCTCGGAGGCATCCACATGGTCCTAAAGCACACCGTTGCCTCATTTTGTATCACATTCCAATGATAAAACTGGGGGGGGGGGACAAAAATGCTATTTCAGAATGTGGGTGGGACATGTCCCCGTCCCCCGTCCCCAGTGAAAGTTGCGCCCCTGCCCAAATGTATAGTATATTTTGAAGCGAGCATGAATGTGTGCTCTGGTCTAGTCTGTAAGCTTAGTTAAAAAGCCTATCCACAGCTTTAGTAAAACTGTTTATTTTCTTATTTATTGTCTATTTGCTCATTTAGAGTACATGATTCACAGAAACAAAGTTTGGAGAAAAATGTTTTCTAAGTACAGAGATAGAAGCTTCATAACTTATACAAACGACATTGTAATAGTAAACATGTTTAAGTAAAAGTGTTGAAATAAACCAGTCACTTTCCCTACCTCTGTGGCTCTCCCTGGTCTTTCCAACACTAAGTTAGTCTGAACTAGAATATGACCTCCAGGACTTCTCAGAGTGACAACAGCTCCCTGAGGCATCTTCCTCCTTTCTCCATTACACAACCAGCGACCCTCCGTAGTGAAGACCTGGGTTAAAATATTATTTGAAATCATTTCAAATACTTTATCTGTGCTTTATTGAGCTTGCCTGGCTTAATGGACCAATCGATCCAAAACATCAAACCACACCCTTCTGGAACTTGAGGCAGGCTAGAGCAAACACTCAGTGTTTTAAGTGATTTCAAATAGTATCTGAGCCCCACCCTGAGCCCCACCCACCCTGAGCCTCACCCTGAGCCCCACCCTGAGCCCCACCCACCCTGAGCCTCACCCTGATCCTCTGAGCCCCATCCACCCTGAGCCTCACCCTGAGCCCCACCCACCCTGAGCTCCACCCACCCTGAGCCTCACCCTGAGACCCCCCCCCCCCCCCCCCCCCCCCCCCCCAGTTCAGTAAATGGAATAGTACAAATTAAACAATGCACCAAAATAACACAATCCAGATGTTTCCAATTCAACATTTATTTTAGTCATCAAAACACCTAATAGTACTAAAGCACTAAAGTTGTTTTTGGTTTTCCTAACTAACAAATAAGGCACATTTCGGAATGCCGTTTCATGGACGTGATGCAACAGAAGTGTTATTTTCTGTTTCCACAACAACCATCCAGTCATCATCCTAACTCACTCACTCCAATCCGATTATAGCATTACAATCTCAAAATGTAACAGACATCAAAGAACATAAACATCAACGTCTAATTGACCACGTAAGTGTTAAAACGGCACATTCAGCCAGTATGTATTAATTGTTATACACTATCGGTCAATTATACATTTTTATGACTAGTAAAAATCTATTAGAAGTTGTTGAGAATGCTAAGAGACTAATGTGCATCCCAAATGGCACCCTATTTTCTACATAGTGCACTACTTTTGATCAGAGCCCTCTATAGGCTCTGGTCAAAAGTAGTGCACTATAAAGGGAGTAGGGTGCCATTTGGGACACATCCTATGTAGCCCACTACGTTACTGTGCTGAAATTAAATACATTGCACAAATTAATACTTATTTTTCCATTTAAAAGCAAAACACATGCACATGCAAACTCTACAATAGTATTTTGTCTCACACACGCTTAACATAAGTAAGTTACACTCTCTGTACTAAACTATGAATAAAAACATAACATTTCAGAGTAGTTCCTTGTAGCTGCTTTGAGCAAACTACAACTCACAGTTGAATGTGCATATACAGTGGCGAGTATCAGTCACTTAGATATAAAAAAAGATTTATTCTGCATGTTAACAGTATTATTGCGTAACCTAGTAAGATCTTAATCAATTATATAGAATTTGAATAACAAAACATTGGTAATTATGTCTGCCATTTTCATAATAATGTAATACTCGTAATAAAACATGAATGCATGCTACTCAAAGGACACAAATGGCAACTCATAGGCATATTAGTTAAAGCACTTGGGTTATTCAATACTGATGATAACATTTCTAACCACAAAACACATAAAATACAAAATGGCTTATAATTGAGTAATTGGTATTAATAATTATGTACCAACTTTTTTTAATAGTAATCTATGTAGACATCAATATTTCCTTCTTAGTGTAACTTTGTTGCGTATTTTATACAAAAAAGTGTTGTAAAAAATCTTTCCATAAATCTTTCTGTAGGATAAACCCCTCAGATTATTGTAAAACATTAACGAAAACTCAAAGCATTATTTGTCTCCC